AAAAAACCTATGGAAAGACATTTTACCATTAGATGTTTTGATCAATATGTACATCTGAATAAGATCCCAATATGATCCATTAATTCAGCAAAGCCCCTGACCTTTCTGTGAGTTACCCAAATGCAGCCCCACTCTCTTGCTTCCAGTACACGCATTTTGCAAAGCCTCCTGCATCCTCCTGTTATTACATCTCTTGATTTCCTTTTGAGACACAAGTACTGTTATGAAAGTTTTCTTTCCAGAAACATTTCCCATGCATGCTTTGAGAAAACTAGTTTGTATCTTCGCTGTCAAGTTAGCCCTATAAAACAAAAGGGAGAAGAACTAAATTTTGGCCAATCTTATTTATTATTTCTTCTTGCTTCCATCTACACAGACAGAAGTACAAGTACCCCAACCTTTAAATCATGTAGCACTCATTAGCCTTTAAGATCAAATGATGCCAGAAAAAATAATGTTTCAGCAGTGCAGATCCTGGGAAGGAGAAAGCTTCCAGACGGCCTTTCATTCCTCAAACAGAAAAGGTTTGTGAAATGCTGTTGCCGAAACAGCTTGAATACACTGAAGCAACCCAGTAGGATTCCAGCGGTGTAAATCCATTGCTTTTAGGTTAAAATGTGAAAACCAATTTTTCTTCATGCCAAAAACCTACCTGATTTTATGTAATCCGCTATCAAGTCTGTTATATAGGTACTTTTACACTGGGCCAAATACAGTGGCCAAGTGAAAATAAGGCAACACCTACATACCTCCCACAAACACAAGACACTGCTTCTGACCTGCTGTTTCCACAAGGCCAGAGAAACCAGATCTGCTTGTTTTAGGCCTGCCCAAACATAGCTTTCCTACCATCTGAAGCTCAGCGGTGACCAGGCAGGTACCAGGCAAAGCCAGGCTATTCAAAGTTTTACCCAAACACTTTGTGAGACCTGATTATCGGCGTATCAGGCTGGCTTTGCCTGCATGCAGGTCTGGTTTTCAACAAACATGCCCTTCAGACAGATTGTCCTACAATTGTTAGGATAGTGATTAATGCTGATTATTGATTACTGTTTAACATTGATAGCTACTAAACATAAGTAGATATGTGAGTGGCAGCAGCCAGTGCCATAGACATCACGCTCTGGAATATGCAAAAAAGGTATTTACGGAGTTAGTAGATCTGAAAAGTTACCAAGCTTTGACCCCTATAATATCTTCCTCACAGATGAGAGAAAACTGGCTCATTATGTCATGTAGCTTGTCCAGATCTAACCCTAGAAACAGAAGAGAAAACAAAGGCTGGAGAGTGTATTTGATATGGCCTGAGCCCCAAGGGCAGGAATAGAGCTCCCTTTGCTGTCATGCCTGCAGTATCTTTGAAACAAAATGGTATGACTCAGCTTATTGATGAAATGAAACAAAACATTTGTCTAAGAGCCACAAGCTGCAATCAAAGAACACTGTATTATAGATAAAGTATCTACAGCCTTTTAAAAGATGAGAGTCATCCATATGCTTCAGGTCCCCTGGAGACAGTGGCTCTTATGTTGATGTGCTTCCAGCAGAGACAAAAGGACTCAGAGACTGCTGCCAGGTCTTCTGGAAGACCAACGTACCACTCGTCCATGAGGATTTCTCCTGAAATGGATACTGAAGAGGCAGCAAGTTGAAAAGGAGGATCTATGTGTGGCAGCTGTTAGTTTGCACATAACATTAATCACTTCATGCATATGAGGAAGGTGCTCAGAGAAGGTACTGAAGAGTGAATGAAGAGCTCTATGGACAAGCACCAAGTTAGGAAAGAAATGGTTCTTCAGTGTGCTGTATAAAAGGATGTTGTGAGTCTAGTTCCCACTGCCAATGCAGACTGCAGTAATTGCACTGAGTGTAGAGCATTCCCCTGCTGTACCTGTGCATTTCTGCTGAACTGGCTGGCCCGGCTCCCTAGAAACTTCTGCTGTATATTGGTATATGCAGGCAGACAAAAGCCTGAATTACTTTAGAGTGAACCCTGATAAAGTTAAATATAGGTTAAATACTTCTAGCATTGGACGCTAGAACCCCCCATGGCATGGGGGTTAGAACCAGATGATCTTTAAGGTCCCTTCCAACCCAAACTATTCTATGACAACTCAGCTACATAATTACAAATTGAGCCTAACCACTAAGTACAGGATTTTAAACACTGCCAATCTAAAGTTAAAAGGCTGCCAGATATACAGTGTGCTCCCCAGAGAAGTTGAATTTGAAGCCTGATAGAGACCTACCGGAGTACCAACAGTTCACTTAGTATTTCTCTCACTCACTGAAGGTATTGCCAACCACTTCCATACACACAAACAGGAAATTTGTGCACTAACACAGATAATTTGCTGTGGGTTTGTGACATAAATCTAGGGACAAACTGCATATACACTGTTGCAAGAAGGAGGAAATGCAGCCTATGAAATATTGACTGAAATAGCCATTGAAACATCATTGATAGCAACTGCCCACATGCTGCCCACACAGTGGTAACAGATAAGTGTTTTAAAGAAAGTCTTACAGCAAAAGAATGCAGGAAAATAATCTATTCAGTTTACAAAAGAAAGGGGAAGAATGTAGTAGGGAACTGGTCAGAGAAGGATCTTCAATCACACAAAGCTACTGCAAGAAGCTGTCTATTGCGAGATGCAAAGGCTGGATGCATGCGGAACTAGAAGCAGTGCATATTTTTCACAGCATGAGGGATTCACCAGCGAGACAAGTGACTCAAACACCAGGGTGAATCGTGTGTTTTGGTAAACCGTGAGTGGATATGTTCACAGAAGATTCCTGTATCAAGTACCCCTGTATTGAGTTTGAAGAGGGAAATCCTAAGGCCTGTGGTATGCTGACATCAGTCTAAGCAATCATAGCCATGTCTTCTGGTGATAAAAACTCATGACTCAGTTAACCTCTAAATGTACCAGCCACGTCTCATTATGCAATATTTATGCCTGTTTATAGTATAAATGAAGCAACCTATGCACTTGTGCGACTATCTCAGTGTGCACAATTTCTTCCTAGATACTATGTCTCTACTACTGTGGCAGGAAAAGCCACTTGCTGATTGAAACTTGCTAGTAAGAAACTCATCTTCTGGGTCTATTTTATGTTCTGCTCAACATGCAGCAGAGTAAGTAACCCTGAAAGGCCAAGCCTGAAAACTGTGTCTGTTCTCTAGGCAGCCAAAATTAACACGCTCCCAGTAAACAACTTTCTCGTGTTCTTTCTAAAGGAAGCACCTCAATTCAGAGCTGATCTGGTGGACTTCATTGCTCTTGTTCCATTTCCCCACCTGTAAAATGGGGATTGACCAGAAAAGAAAAGGGTAGCTTACTTCCTATGGGATGAACAAGAAGTATGTGAGCTTTTTTTCCGGGGGCAGTGAGAATCATATTATTGCAAGGGATGTTTGGGGGTTGGGAAAGGGAATACGCCAAAAGAAGTCTATAGAGGCAAAGTCACCCTGCAAAAAGAGGAAAGCATAGGAGGCCACTGATGAGAACTAGGCTGGCTGTGGAGGCCTAAATCCTCACTGTCATTGATGAACCCAAAGAGTCAGAGACTTCAGCAGGGAAATGCCTGCCCTGTCCCCTCACTGATGGTCCCTCTCTCCATCTCATGGCTTCCTTTTATCTTAAGGAGAGATTTTTTTGAATCTGCTTTGGGAGAAAACATTAGGCTTTCTCCTCTACTTGTGGCAGTCCCCTAGGACAATGCTTACCAGTTCATTTCTCACTAGCACTGGCATTTTATAGTCGAGTGTCCTCTCCAGTGACCAAATGCCAAGAGGAAGAGCTGAGATGACAGAGCCGCCTGAGTTACTGCCAGAATTTCCTAAACCAGATATCTCCTAGTTCAATCTTCCAGCCAGTTGTGAATCACTGCAATTGGAAAAGACAGCAAGGAAGCTCAAGTTGAAGAGTCAGGCTAAATTCCCTTAGACTGGCCAGTAGCAACAGCCACCCAGCCAGGACACATGCTATTGTTGGGCTGATGCACACCAAGCTGCAGTTCCTATTGCAAAGCTCAGTGCATGACACACTTCAGAGACAGCTGATACTTTCATTCCCACCTAGGAGCCATCCTGCAAGTAGACACTCTACCTTAGCACCATGGCTTAGGAAATACCTCTGTGCAAGTCATGGCTAAAGATGTAGGGGAGGAACCCATGGCCCATGCACAGCAAGATGACTTCCTGGTGGAAAGAGAACTGAAAAGGAGGCAGGACTGGGACAGCAACATGTGTACCCAGGCCCCCTGAAACAGTAAACGCTTTATTACTTGCAAGTATCTGCTTCCTTTCTGGTGCCAGTATTACTTTTAACCTCTTTACCTCTTTCCACAGCCTCTCCTGCTGCTTAATCAGATTGCGACCACCAGTCTTCAAAGCCGCACAGTCAATTACCCAAATCTCTCACCAGCTGTCCTAGGTCCACAGGCTACAGCAGAGGGCACAGATCCAAGAGAACATCCATCAAAGTCTTCTCATATTTTGTTTTCTAGACAGGTACTTGACTATGCAAATCATTATCACATGAAAGCAAGAGGACATTCTCTGTACACAGGGGAAGGACAAGAGTTAGAGCTTGTTGGATATATTGCATCAGCTTGTTGCAATTTTGCTTTCAAGTTCTTGCATTCAAGCTGCACTTTTCTTTCCCACCCCCCACTTTTTTTTAATGGAGAGATGGGCTCACAGGTTGTTGTCTGTGATCCCTTGGTCTTATTCCAGTGTCGCTGCACGATTGCGTGACTCCACTCCTGCACTCATCCCTTCCCATGGGCGGCAGTAAGAAGATGATGAACAAATCATAAATGTACTTCCTCAGTAACTGGAAATGGTCTTACCTTCCACATCTTTCTCAAAGTCTTTAGTTGGGGGGAGAAAAAGGGAATCAGTCTGCTGTAAAGGGTCTAAAATCAGTTTCCACACCTGTTTCATATGAAAGTTTGTATATTTTAGTAGTACCCTTTTCCAAATCACACACGAATGATAGAAATAACTATATTTCTCAAAGAGCAGAAGCTGCATTTCTCTACACAGCACATTGTGTTTATTCCTACAAGGTTTTTGAGACATACAGCATTAGATACTGAATTAGGAAATAAAAGCTAGATGTTCAGTTTTGTTTTATTAGAAGAAGCTTTCTTATCTCTTGAGAAAATACGTTGCAGGCTGGTGCACTTAGTACAAGGAACAAATTCTCAGAAAAATAAACCCAAAGTGTTATCACCAAAAGCACAACTCTTAAATTTCTCAAACCTCAATTTTGCTTTCATTATCTCAGTGACTTTCTCAACTTTAGCCAAAGCCCAAGTATTTGAACCTATTTACCTCTAAACAAAACAGATAAAACTCAGATGGAACATGTTAGTTTTGCTTAACCGGCCAAATCTAAGATTCCTCTTAGAAGCTGTCGATTAAGCCTTCTCCAGAAATTCTTCCATTATATGAAGTAGCCTCCTCATTCCCCACAAAACAGAACAAACTGTCCACAAAACCCAGCAGCCTCAAGCAACGAAACAGAAACTGAGCATAGGCACTGCTAGGTCTGTACTTGCTGTTGTTGTGCTAAGTAAAACATTTGTCCATACGTGTGAGGGACATCAAACTCTGCTGGACAGGCTAAAACAAACCTTTCTAGTTTTATGCAGAAAATACTTAAGTTTATGTAGGTACAAAATTTTCGTCTCTTATGAGATGCTGTTTCACATGAACTTGGTAAGAAAGTGATAAAATCCCATCAGCTATGTTAAGAAAATGTCCTTCTTTTACCTTTATCCTTATTAGGATGTTCACAATTGTTGTGAAAATATTTAACATTTGTTTTAATCAGATTAAAAACAATGCATATACATTAAAGATTACATTTTTCTATGTCATCGGTGTCACCTATTTAAAACAGGAAGGATTTTAAAGATGTGAATCTGTGATTGCATTGTTTTGTCAAGGAGAGGGCAAGATAACAGAAACATGTATATTGATTCTAAGATTAATTTTAAAATCCTGCAAAAATAAACTTCTAACAAATTTGACCTAGAGGGTTGTTGACTAGACTTCATCTGCAAGGTTGGTCATAACCACATGTGTTCTGAAAGTTCAGATAGACTTAGGTCAGCTCTGATGGAGGGGGTGGGTTTCTTATCCATTTCTGAAAGTTAATTGAAGAAGCATATGTAACAGAAAAGCATCATTAGCTTTACATGCCTCCAAACTCTCCTGGCTATCTCTTCAAACAGCAACACTGTTGGGAATGCGATCTGGGGAAAGGTAGTAGTAAGGAAGCTTTTTGTTCTTGTTGCGTTCGGTGATGGTGTTGACAATCTCATCCAAATTCTTGCGGAATTTTGCCATAGCCTCTTTCACTGGCTTCTCCACGAAGTGTTCATCTGGGTACATGCCCAGAAACAGCTAATTGAAAAACACCAAGAAATCATGTTTTAAGTAAGCAAAGGCAATTCTGTTTCAACATTATGTCATCCAGCAGAACAGCACCCAGAGTCTCACCTCACAAACGCTACTATTAAAATAGTACTAGCAATATTTAAGCTAGTCTACATCGAAACTGCCAATGAAAGATGCTCTGCTACCTCCCCTCCATTGCTAGCTGCTTCTTTACATCCTTGCATCTTTTTGTAACGCTTGTTCAGGTGTCTATGTGGCACCTCCTCCACCTGTACAGAGCTCATCTGCTGAAAAACAGGCACTTTTCAGGCCAGTGGTCAGTCAGATGAGTTTCCTAAGCCAGATCTCTGCATAGCCATGAAAACATTTATGCTGCTAGAGAAAAGGACAGCATGAGAGTGGAATTAACAGCCAGAGATGAAAAAGGAAGATAACTACTTCATTCAGTGACAGTGCAAGTTTCTGTTGACTTAAAACTGTCCTTCAGAGTTTCAGTGACAGTTGCTTTAGTCAGCTTGGACTCGAAGGGTGCTCTGACAATATGCACACTTAGGTGACTATTTCCCATGATACTACTCATAGTACCAGCTTCTCTGCTAGTACTGCTTTTTTTTAGAGAGAAACTTAAAGTGCCCTCTGTCCATCATCATCCATTTAAGGATTTCAAAACATATCCCCGAGACAGAGCCCTTGGGTGAAACAACCAAGTACCGACAACCTCATTTTACATGAAGGAAATGGTTACACACCATGCTTGCAAAGCCTTCCACAGGCTTGTTTTGTTTTTGCTCCTCACCAGCCAGGCACGAGCCACCACTGTAGTGCACGTGGCACTGGAGCAGATTTTTAAAAGGGACAGGACATGGGGACAGAGAACTGCTGTACCTTCTTCCCCAGCACTGCTGGGGCAAGGAATGGAAAAAACCCTTATGACTCTGCAGCCCTCTTCCTCCCACACCAGCATCCTTATTCAGCAATGCCATGGACAAGCTTAGAAACTTTCATTTGAGCTGAAACAGAGTCTCAGTAAAAGTATGACTTCTTGCTCAGAGCTGGTTTGCATCTGGCAGAATAAGGACAAACCCACACCACTGACACATCTCTACAGAAAAGTAAACGTAGTCAAGTCAAGCACAGAGCAGCAATACAATCTTGTGAGTCTGTGCAGTCTTGCCATGGCCCTCATGGTCTCACCTACATCTCCACCACCCAGAGAAGGGAGGTTGACTTACTTCTTTGTCCTGGAATTGGCTTAAGGCCCAAACAGCTCCAAGATGCCAACAGGAACGTCCCCTGTCTGGCAGACTCTCCACAATTTGCTCGATGGTGACAGTCCCCTTTTCTGTTGGAGGAGGGCAGCGCATTGTTGGTGGGGCATTGGGAATCCAGGAACACCAGTCATACTGCACAACAGAGCAAGAGAGCACAGTGAAAAGCTACAGTGGCTGGTATTTAGGAACACAGTGAAGAAAATCAGGAGTTTGACAACGGGGAGTTTGCTTCTGTATTATGAGCCTTTCGGAAAGAGAGGATATTAAGACAGGGAGATGCTCTAGAGAAGGACTGGAGGTGACAAGGAAGTCCCTTCTGTTTTTGCTCAGGAATTCACAAGAGAGTCACCTAAATGGGAGTAGTTATTCTGCTAACCACAGGCATGTGCCACACAGCCCAGATTCACCAGCCAGGCTAAGGCCTTAGCTATTTTATTAAACAAAGACCTTTTCTGATAACCTGAGGTGACATCTGAAAAAAAAAAAAAAATTAAAATCCCCTTTTCTCCAGTTTCTCTTTTCTGCAAAATTTCCTCCAAGAACATGCCCACAGTACTGTGGTCAGGCAGTAAGAGAGACAAAGGATGTTGTTTCATCAAGTAATATGGAATATGGCATGCAGATATGGCCATGGTGAGTGGCAGACTGGGAACTCAGAATCACTTCTGGCCTGCTTCACTGTTGTGAGCTGGTGATGTCTCCTTTTGCTTCAGATATGACCCTGAGTTTTGCTGCAATCTGAGATGATGCACTTCAGCTTAAAACTTGCAATACTGTCTGTCACAGTACCCTTCTGGACAAAATGTCCAGCCCACAGCTGGATAAACACATCATGTGGTGGGTGAGCAATTGGCTCACAGGTCGAACACAAAGGTTAATAGTGAATGGGTAACATCAGACTGGTGACCTGTTACTAGTGGGGTTCCACAGGGCTCCATCTTGGGCCCTGTGCTCTTCAACATCTTCATAAATGACTTGGACACAGGACTGGAACGGATACCAAGCAAGTTTGAAGGTGATACAAAACATGGAGAAGCTGTTGACTCCCTTGAAGGCAGGGAGGCCCTGCAGAGAGACAAATTAGAGGACTGGGCAATCACCAACCATATGAAGTTCAACAGAGAGAAGTGCCGGATTCTGCACCTGGGCTGAGGCAAACCTGGATGTTCATACGGACGGGGAATGAGATGCTGGAAAGCAGTGCCATGGAAAGGGATCTGGGGATCCTGGTTGGCGGCAATTTGAATATTAGTCAGCAGTGCCCTGGCAGCCAGGAGGGCCAACCCTGTCCTGGGGGGCATCAGGCAAAGCATCACCAGCTGGTCGAGGGAGGGGATTGTCCTGCTCTGCTCTGCACTGGGGCGGCCTCACCTTGAATATTGTGTGCAGTGTTGGGCACTGTAATATAAGAAAGACATTAAGCCATTAGGGAGTGTCCAAAGGAGGGCAATGAAGATGGTGAAGGGCCTTGAGGGGAAGCCATATGAGGAGTGGCTGAGGTCACTTGGTTTGTTCAGGCTGGAGAAGAGGAGACTGAGGGGAGACCTCACTGCAGTTACAACTTCCTTGAGAGGGGAAAAGGAGGAGCAGACAGTGATTTCTTCTCTATGGTGACCAGTGACAGGACCCTACGGAATGGCCTGAAGTTGTGTCAGGGGAGGTTTAGGTTGGATATTGGAAAAAGGCTCTTCACCCAAAGGGTGGCTGAGCACTGGCACAGGCTCCCCAGGGAAGTGGTCACAGCACCAAGCCTGACAGAGTTCAGGAAGCATTTGGACACATGGTGTGACTCTTGCGGATGGTCCTGTGCAGGGCTAAGGGTTGGACTTGATTCTTGTTGGTCCCTTCCAACTCACCATATTCTGTGATTCTGTGAAATTAGCACAACTTACAGCAGCAACCCACAGTAATTACCTGTGCCTGTGCTCACAGCAAAGGCAGAGTAAAGCCACTTAGCATAACTCACTGCATTTCATTGCAGAATGGGCCTCACACTACCATCACATCTCAAATCCAGGCAGTTCAGGTGATGTGTGAAAAACATGGTAGCTAGGCTGGACACCTGAACCCTTCAGCATTCCTGAAAGAGGTCTTACCAAATGCTTGAAAAAAATTGCTCCCCATAATAAAATCAGTAAAACTAAAATATACAAGTTAGAACCCCTAAATCTGAGCTTTGGTACATATGTAGGACTCGGAAGGCCTTTCTCAGCTTCCAAATTACTGCAGTTCCTGTAGACTTCATGGGGATTTGCAGATGGCTCTGCAGTTATTTTGACCAGAAACAACAGTGTAATTCTGTACATCTACTAAAAAATACTTCTCAGACCTTGCCCTGGTAGATGTACCTCCCAGTCCAGAAGGAAGAACAGTCTTCCCACAAATTCCTACCTGACCAAAGTTCACAGCTGCGTGTTGAGCCGATGCAGTGAATATTATCACTGTGAGATATTCTGCTAGTGTCTCTCGTGTCCTGATCATCTTAGGAAACCCTAAATGAGAGAGAAGAAAAGTTTAAGTAACCCAGCTATGAAGTAAACCTTTTATCCAGCAGTAATCAAAAGAAAGGAGTAAGAGGGCTATGAAGCAGTCACTGAGGAGCAGGGCATTCTATGAGTCTTGCTGTGTGGTCTAACAGAAGCTACTCAACCTCTCCGTGCCTTGGCTGTGTGGTTATAAAAACAGGGTGATCCTGCCTTACCTGATACAGGTTTGTGAGGTATCACCATTTGCAAATTATGCGGTATTCCGTAAGGGAAAGACAAAGTGTAATTACACCTTTAAAAAACACTGTGGCCCTGTCCTACCTACCCTGCAGCAAAGCACCCAGACAGTCCACAGGGCAGGGGCCTCAGATGCTCCATTTTTCCTCAGTCTGCAGTGCAAGCAGGGAAGGCTCATGTCAAGGAGGAAGTGACCATGTGCTTGTATTTATAAAGGTCTGAGGCTCAGCAATCAAGTGTACTGTGAGAAAGAGAGCAGGGAGAGCTTATTCGCTGAAATGGGAAGTGAGGAAATGAGAACTTCTGAAAGAGAAACAACAGAATGAGGAACAGAAATACTTGCATTAAGCTGTCTTTGAAGGAGAATAATCAAATGGAGCTATATAAAGAAAGAATGCAATAGTCAGGGACTAGGGCAATATTTTGCAACCAAAGCAACCCCAGGCCTGTATCTCTCTTATCCTCCCTAAATAACATGGTGCTGTACTTCCTGTCCCATTCCAGTGTGACCACAGGTCCCAGTAAACCTACAGCTCTGTCAGTACCCTGGAGCAAGTTGCCCCTGCTCAGCTGCTTCACACCTCCACCACCAACCTGATGCAGATGTGAACTCAACATGAGAGAGGGAAGAGGCACACGGTATCTCTGGTCAGCCACTAAGCCCCAAGTGGAGAGGATGCACCATCCCCTCCTGTGTTCTGCTATCCTAAGCACACTGTGCTCATCTTTAAAGGAGTTTGGTATTCTCCCAGTCACAGCAGCCCTCACAGGGAAGAAACAGAGACTAGAGGGGGAGCCCCAAGTGCCATAGCTTCCCCCATTTATCCTCCTCCCATTCTTTACAGACCCAGCCAAGTCCCCCTGCTCTGGAGTGGCAGCAGTGCAGACAGAGATGGTGCAGGACATCACACCTTACCTGAGGCTTTCACACCCCTCATCCCATAGACGTAAATGTCTTTGACGAAAGCCTGGAGCTCCACATCCTCACACACCACCTCGTCGCTCTCATAGTAGATGTGGATCACATCCTCTGCAAAACTGTGGGCAGGAACAAACGAACAAAATGAAATCAAAAGGAGAAAGCAAGTCTGCTGTTCCTCAAGGTCGTCTACTGCCCTTGGAAATGCTGCGTGTGGAAAGGGATAAGGGCAAGAGAAGGTCTCAGCATTCTCCTACCTTCTTCCTACAAGCAGCGGGAATGCACAGAGGGAACTTTGATTCATTTGGGACTGCAGCATCACTTCCTCCCCCAACAAGATGTTGGACCACACTGCATCTCCTGAACAATCCTGTGCACCTTATTCTCTTATATCAGCCTTTGCTCCTGCCCAGACCTCTATCATCACATCTACATTCTTCACTTAATACAGACTCCCTCTTGCATATTCTCATGGCTCTCACACTGGTAAGTGGGGTTCCCAAACTGTGATACCAGCATGATCCCCTTCATGTGGGACACTTCAAGGTTGCTCCTGAATATCATTCAAATAGTTGCACCCCTCCTACTGGACATCCTTTTCATGAAACACAACTGGCACACTCCAAAGTGGAGGTGGCTCAGGAAATTTCTCCTGGGGAGAAAAGATCTAGAGCTATTTCCTACACCCACTTGTTTACAGCAGACATCGCCTCCCTGTTCAGTTCCTCTTTTCAAGGTCCCTCTTTCTACAAAAGCTCCCCAGGCTAACTCACCTCTGAAAGAAAGGTTCTTAAAACACTGTGATAACAGAAAGAGTTCTGAAAGCATTAAAAATAGGTAAGCCTGATTTCCTGAAGATTTACAGTTCATGACTGAAGGACTGATTAACTGGGCTATGTGCTGAGATATTCTGTTAGCTCTGCAGGTACCTATAATCTCTTGCTAAATATTTTGACAACAACCCATAGGGTGAAACATTTGTCTGCAGATGCTGACTGATGCAATTAAAAACTGTTATTCAATAGAGATTTATCCCTTAATAAGATAAAAATCTATACATTTTATAAATTTATTGCAATTTGGAGACTTTTATTAATCTGTCAATGTGGTTCCTATCAACCAACAAAGTCAAGAGTTGTCATTGAGGCAGACAACTGCATTAACACCAAGAGTTTAAGCAATTTTAGCTTTTAGAGGAAGCCAAAGGAAAAGAAAAATTCTGCTAAATGCAGAGAGAAAACTGCATGAGTTCTGTCTCTGTGCATTTGGCACAGGTGCCAGGTGATATGTAATGTAATCCTCCTCTTACAAAATGGTAGTGTTTTAGACCCCATTGCATAGAAATATAGGTTAGTATATGAAGTGTAGGTGAAGCCTTTTGGGCTGCAGTATCTTGGGTTGATACGTCTATCTGCAGTTAGATCAGAAAGAGGAAGCTGAGTATTAGAGAAGGGGTTTACAAATTTGCCTTGTGAGACTCCTTGTTTCTATAGGGACAACCTTATCAGCTTTCTTAAGTCTACGCCATCTACCACATGTGAAGTACTGCTGGGAATAGAAATGATTTCATCAAAAGTGAAGACTGATAACCCCGTAGTGTGGGAGAGTCATGGTGACTAGACACATACACAACCATGTCAGGAATCCTGACCATGGGTCAGGGTCTCGCACACTCTAAAGGGTACTGCCTACACCATTTACAAACCAAATTATTCACCTATGAAGAATCTCTCAGCCAAGTTTGAGGCAGTGTAACACAATCCTCCAGTGAGGTTAACACCCACAAACAGTCAAACTAAACTGAATTGACTAAGTACTACCCGGTATTTGAAAGTCATATCTTGATATGCAAAGAAAATACAGGAAAGAGAAGGACAAAAAAACCGGACTACATAAAGAAAACAACCACAGCAAAGTTATAACTTCCTTTTCTCTCAAATGGGCACTAACAATTGCAGGAAATTTTGCAAGATAACCCCTTGTCAAAACACAGAGAAAACACAGGAGACAAAGATATACCCAAAACTTCGAACATTATGCTTGCATCATAAACGCTCTATTTTCTGTACACGAAAGATCTAATTTTTAATGAACACGCTTTTCAAAAGTCATGCAACCAGGAACAGCTGCATATTTAGTAAGCAACTTATGCTATGCAAAAATACATTGTTTGTTAAACTAAACATTGCAGCAGAATAAAACCCTTATGAATCATTCCATTCTGAGGCAGTGTTTCAGACCTGAAAAGGAACCACATTTGTGTGGTTGATCAGCCTTGCAGTACCTCTCCTGACTCAGAATTGCTGCCCTCCCTGATTAAACTAAGGCCTTGCAATTTTAAAGCATTTTTTAAGAAAGGTTTTGCTCTAATCAGTTAATACCTAATTTACTGAGTTTCAAAAGACAACTTTCACAGAAGTCAGTCTTACATTTTCACTCCACAAAAACCTTGATGAACTCATGTGGCTGGCTCAGAGAGCTGGGTCTTCTTTTCATTTGTGCGTAGCTAAAAAAATTGTTATTAAATTCCCTTTGCAGGCTAAATTCCAACTCAGTAAATTCTTGAAATCCTACAGAAGAGTACTTATAAAGGGTGCTCTGAAATACAGAATACAAGAAAACTGAAAAAAGCAGGAATTAACAGTCTTTCAAGAGTGTGTGCTTGGCTGTATCTTTCTCCTCCAATTAGATATGCTGGATGGAAAAGGCACTACATTACTAAACAGCCCATGTATTGTTCACAAGAGAAGAAGTGAAGAGAAAAAGTGAGCAGAAAAAAAAGAGATCTGTGTCTCTGTGACAGTGACTTTATGAGCCATTTCTTGAACTATGGTCTTTTACCTCTTTATAGCCTCCCAGACTTTAATGCCATCATCCCGGTAGTAGTAGTAGGGGATATCCTCTTTGCTGTCCATCCCTTTAGCTTTGATCTCCTCTGGGAAGCAGAGGGAACGGTAAGTCAGATCTTTCATTGCTTTCTGTACCATTTGTACATGTCCTCCTCCACCCGTAGCATTTGCCTGCAGGAAGAATGGCAAGATGGGAACGGTGTTCACTTTGTGCCAAGACTGGCTTTCCAAATTTGCAGGAGACAGTACTCAGAGCGCTGATGAATCTGTTTTTCAAGCAGAAAACCACATCTCCACACAAAGTACCAAACTGCAGAGTTCTACTGGAACTGTGCATTTTCATTGCAGAGATTTCATATCTCTCCCATGAATCACTGTTATTAACCACATTTTCACCATAGGTACAGCAGCTGCTTTTACTGGAGTACAGCACCATCAAAGCATGGCACTTTCTGCTAGCCCTATGCTCCAGAATCAGTGCACGTGTGAAGGAAGGCAGCCATGAGTGTGTCAGATGACGGCTTTAGCTAAACTATGCACTGCTGCTACAGAGTAGTTTAGGAGAAAATGTTTAGGGATGAAGGCTACCATTAGCCACCCTGGAATTTATGCCTGGAGATCAATCCTGCTGGGTGACTACTGATGAGGACTGGTCAGGGTTTCAGTATATTTACATTTGGAAAACACAGCATGTCTACAACAGACAGCACTTCAAAACTCTTTAGATAATCACCGCACAGAAGTTCCCAAATGTTGTTTTTCTAGCATATGATGTGAAAAGCAGCAGTAGTCACCTTACACTTACTGTCCTCCAGCTGGTTGTTCATCTACATTGGAATCAAGAAACTCTGGAACTCCAGGACCCTTGCTGGCAGGTTTTAGCCACGCACTCTTCCCACATGCATGAGGTGCGGACATGATGCTTCTGTTTAAAGGGATAGGAGGTCTCCACAGTCTGCAGTGGAGTACAGATGACACAGAAGGTGGCTGGATTTAACCTCTCTATTTCGCTTGGGTGAAAAGCTCCGAGGCAAGGAAGCTATTTTTGGCCTGGTGCAAGTGGTGTAAGGAAGACAGAGTTGTCCTGAAACAGAAGCTCCCTCTTTGAAAGGGCTTCTGAAACCTCCTCAAACTTAACATTTATTCCTAGCATGTTGTTACAGAGACTGCTCTGTGCTGACTTACTGTGGTTCCTAGATCCAGCATTCTATTTCTCCCACTTGGTGTCATCTGTCAACTTACTGAGGATGCACTCAACCCCTCATTCAAATCGTTGATAAAGGTATAACATACTGCTATGTTTCACTGGCTCACATGAAGCTGAGATTTAATCCTAGCAGATCTGCTGTTTATGGCAACTCAAGAAGACAGACTGGAATCTACACCCACTATTTGTGGGCTTCAAAATGTCTTACCTATGTGTCTTTCAGTGATGAAGATTTCAATTTGCAATTTTTATTCTCACAGAGTACTTAAAAGAAATTTGGGACTTAACTGTGTGCATACGTGTACAGAAATTTATGTGCGCAATATGATATCCTGCACTCTTATACTTATAACCCAAAGTCACATCAGCAATAAGTGAGATACTGACTGACATTGGCCAGTTCTGATTTGGCTACTTAGAGGTAAAAGAGAATATCTTTAGGATAACAAGGCATCAGTTCTGTGTGCCCGTTTCTCAGGTGATATTAGTTATGTTTGCCCTTTAATAGCAAGGTCAAGAAATAAGGCAATATGTGATTAACAAAGGATATGTACATATATAACCACAAAGAACAACAAAGAACCGTGAACAAACATGAACAATGAAGATTCACAAAGAGGATTACCTACCTTGTCAAAAAGGCCACATTCACAGATAAGCTGTTCTCGGGCTTTGGTATTGATGGCTATTGTGAACCGCATATGTGGCACCAAGAGCTGTGAAATGGGACAAACAATGAAAGAAGGAAATTCTCAGATTGAATTCAACAGCAACCAGATGTAAAGGTTGAAGTCCTGGAGGTCTTGGTAGTTTAGCTGTATCTCGCCTTGTAGGGCAGCCAGTTAAACTATTTCAGCAGAACTATCACCAGAACTTCCTTTTGGTTTGTCAACCTGATGTGATAACCACCCTAGCCCACATACATCCCTTCATGCAAGAACCAACCTTGAAGAGGGGATGTACAGCAGGCAGCTGCCGGAACATAGCTATGCTGAACACCTCTGAGACTAAGTGTGTCCGTAAGAGGTGGGTCACTGTCTGATGGACGTGGAAATCAGATGAGCGGACCCAAATTTTAGCCAGCAGCCAATCGTATGTGGCATCTGAAGGAAGGAATATGGGATTGTCTGGCCCAGGCTTTTGACCAAGCTGAAAGATACAAAGAACATAAAATCCAAAGTACTCCATGTTTAAAATGAGACAACAAGCAATGTGTCCCTTGAGAGACACTGACAGTAGGCCCACCTGGATTGCAATAGGCACAATTTTATTCTCCAGATTCTTATACAGCAGACAGATGGGTGCAGCCAAGTACTGTATTGTGCATGGGTCTGTTTTATTGGCATCCACACCATCAAGGAGCTCATAGTCCACAATGAAAATGTTTCCTTGCTGTGGGGGAAAAAAAAAAAAGGAAGCATGATGTGGTTTAATGGTGTGCGAGCAGCAAGGCTTGGAACAAAGAAATGAGAAGTTGAGAAGTCTTGGCCAGAGACTGACTTCTGCCTGGTGGTTACAAGCTACCACTGGCCTGGCCTTGCCCTTGCTCATAGTGGCTCAGGGATGATGCCATTGAGACAACAAGTACCATCTCACAAACTGACTGACTTGTGTCTGCAGAGTCTGACAGTGAGTCTTTCAGCAAAGAGCATCTATGTGTTTGGCACTCATGCAGTGACACTCAGATGTAAACAAGTTTCATGCTGCCAGTTGAAGAGAATCCTGTGCTCATTGTACAAACAAAAGCGAGGCACCACCCTTGTCAACCCTTCTTCAGCATGTTAGTTCAACTCAGCAGGTGACAACAGGGGTAAGACCCTACCAGGAAAGGAAGAGACACTTTTCCCCCCTGAGGCATTCAGTCAATCCCTAACCTTTTAGAGGAAACCACTGAAAAAGGACCCTTCACTTCCTAGTTACAGCTCTTCCACTGGACCTGCAGAAAGGCATGGCCTGCAGCTCCAGGATAGCAGGAGAAAATAGTCAACAGAAGTGCTGTCAGTCTGCAGAGACAAATGGCTTTGCCATGACCAACCAGAAAGCCTGAAGAGAGATGTGGCTGAAGCAGTTAGAACAGAGTTTGGAGGTTAGAGAATACGAGAAGGAACGGGTGCAGTCCAGCCTGATCCAGAACTGTACCTTCACTTCCTCTTCCAGCGTCAGGTTCCTCTCCAGACTGCATTCTACCATATCCATAGTCACAGGCAGCTTCTTGGGTATCTCTGTGCATCTCTGTATCAGCACAGGATTACATCCATTCAGGAACTGGTAGCCAAACATAAAATCTTCCTTCCAGTGCTGCATCACATATTCTAAAGGAAAAACAAACCTGGAGCATCAATATTTGCACTGCATCAATATCCTACTGGAGGATTCCTCCTTTCCCCCTCACTTTTTTGTTATACTGCACTCCAACTTTGACTACAGAAAGCAGCAGAAAAGGATTCAAAAGGTGATGCAGAATTTTAAGAAAAATCACTTAAGTTAAATGGAAAATTTAATCTTTGCTTCTCACTTTAAGAAAAAATAAATTGATAATAATTTGTTTCTCCATGTACAGAACCAATGAAGAGCAAAATATTCCAATTCTATGAAAAATACTCTCTTCATCTGCAAATGACCTTCTCAGGTCTTCCATTATATTTTTAAATCTCACTCTTCAAATTCACAAGGCATGTAGTACAGAGGGATAAGTCCAAAACCAGATGGCACAGGCAGGAGAAGGGCAATACACAACAAGGTGTGTAGGGAAAGAACAGCAGTGGCTAGAGCAGTTCTCTTAGCTGGAGCTGGGTGAGGGATACCTGGGGATGGGTTTGGATTTGGCTTTCACTTAGTAAAACTCCTCATTCGTTATTTTGCTTGTTTAAATTTTTTCCCTCTATTTATTTTTCAATTGCTAATATAAACTCAGATTAACGTATCAGTAAAATTCTAGTCTGGGGTATTTCATCTCTTCACTATTACATATGTAGTACAAATGGATGTTTTCCATAGTCGCAGTGTTCTGTTTCATAATGTCATGTCACCACTTCAGTGATGACTGATAGCCATCAGTTTACAAGTTCAGAGTCAGAAAAAACATGATTATGTGAAAAATGCCATTGGTGTCTTCAGGGGAAAAATTAAGCTAGTAAAGTTTTCCACTATTGTCTATTTTCAGACAAGGCAGAACTTTTTCTGAAAGCAGTTTATTTTTCTAAAGAGGGTAAAAAGATGAAAAATATAGGCCCAAAGGAATTCAGTGATAATTAAAACAAAAAAGTCTCAAAACCCAGAATGCTCTCTAACAAAGCATGAAAACATTAAGTTTACATGAAGTGACATTTACATTATCTCTATCAATTGCATAATGAGTCTGAAGCTGCATCTGAAGTTTACACCAAGCAAAAAATAATTCATCACCTTAGACAGAAACTGCATGACTGAAAAATGCCTTGAACCACCTTCTCCATTATCCCTGTTTCTGCCAAGGCTTGCAAAAATGGCAAATTCAGAATTGCATTAACATAACTGAGACTGACACGTAATGTTTAAATGTCACAGAATTGGAGCTTTCCTCGTGGGTATGGAAATGTTATCAATGAAATTAATTGCAGATCACATCTAATTCTTGTGTTAAAAGTATTTCAGGAAGCAATCTTATTAAATGTAACAAATTGCTGTAATTAGTTTTTAATAGCTTTGCCACCTCGTGTGCTTGGTTTTATACCCTTGACCACATAATTACTCTTATTTGCATGAACTGATCCTTAGGTAGCCTGAAGAAAGGTAAAACTTCAGAGCAGGAGGGAAAAGATTTTCCTTTGCAGAGTATGAGCAGCCTATTCACGCACGTTTGAGGAGTCACACACTAACCAATTTATAGTAGCTGTGCATTTATTATATCCAGTAACACAATCCAATAAAGTAACCATGGGTGAGAGCAGAAGGTTGGGCCTGGCTCACAAATCCAAAGCTCCCCAGCCCTGCTCTACAGAAATGTCACCATGAACTTCAAAACCCGTGACTGCCTGTAATTCTTTTTACTGGGTTTTCAAGTAACTGCCAAGATTTTCGTATTGAAAAGGGCTAAAGAAAAGCAGTAGTTTGTCTTTTATCTGTTAATACTACATCAATGGAGTTTTTAGCAGTAGGAAAGACACTGAAAAAACTGAACACCCCTGAAACCAAAAGTGAAACTCACACTCTGAGACAGGTATTTTTGTCTTCTAGTAGGAAGATGTGAGTATGAAATGGCAAGCACAAGCAGGATATTTAATGAAATATGCATAGCTAATTCTGACATATTTTTGACAAGAGACATTTTGGATAAATGCCACAAGCTTTTTCAGCTCGAGCTCACACTAATTTCCAGTAAGAACCACAGTTCCTCAGAGTGTGGTCTGATGACTCACTCTGGCTCAGCAGGACCAGGTGAATGAGTTACAGTTCCCACATCATTCTCAGCATTTTGCAACCCATCCCCAGATCCGCTGGCCTAACAGCATGGGCCTTCATATCTGAGTTTTGTCAAAATAATCCCTGTGGGGAAAAATATACCCCTGGAAAGCACTTGAGCTGCCCCATGTCACTGACACAGATGGCCCACAAGAACGAACTGAAGGGAGCTACAGGTCATATGAGAGCAGAACCAAGGCAGTAGCAGCATCCCTGTGTTGGAACAGGGTCGAGAAGCCGGGACTTTTAGCAGCAATGCAACTGAGCACATGGCTGGGATATTAGGCAACAGACTTTGATCTTGCCTGTCAGAGGCAAGAGGGGTCACCTTCACACTTGCCCTTAGCAGAGAACAGTACCAGACTTGCCTTTTTGGAGATTTTCCATGTATTTAGATGGCTGAAGTGGGGCATGCACAATCAAACTTTCAAAGATGCCTTAACAGCTAATATGATCTGAAAAGCACCCCCACTAAGCTATCTCTAGGTTTAGATGCAAAATACTTAATAAAATATATCCTATGGGACTTGTATATACTTGGAAATACATTTCTAAAACCCAAAAGGGACTATGATGCCCAACTGGACTGACCTCCAGTATAGCTCAGGACAGAAAAGGTCGTTGAGCAATTACTAGTAATTTTAGTTCCTTGTGAGATCATATCTTTGTTTTTCAGTCTGGAGGGTTGATGGCATGATCTGCAGTCTGAGATTACAGTTTACTTACTGGAGAGCAGAGAGCAGGTCAGCCACTTCCATCCTGATCACATATGTACAAGACAACTAATTAATCATTCTATGAGGCAAACATGAGCAAAGGCTGATAAACCCACCAGAGATTGTGTTGCTGATTCTGACAAAGATCCTCTCAAAATCTGCAAAATCACTCCAGGAGGACTGGAACATGTGCATGAACCGGTTGATATAAAGATTCTCCATCCTAAATATACACCAAAATAAAACATATCTGAAAAAAATGATCTTCAGTGTCCCCAATACCCTTCCCCATTCTTTTCCACCCTTTTATATATCTAAACACAATAAATTTTTAGCAATGGAATATGGGATTCGTCACCCTACAGAATTAAATTTGCAGACTGTACCTTTACACACAAGCCTGAAAGGCATATCAAGGGCCCAGCTCTTGCTATTGCACTTACAGAACTCTGTTCCAGAGTTGTTCTTGGCAGCCTACAACAGCAGTGCTTTAGGACCTATGTCATATAAAAACTATAGTCAGAAAAACCAGTGCTTCACATGTTGTCAGTAGTTAGCATCAGCTGAGACTGCTGATTATTAACACCAATTCAGAAAGGGATATGGTAACACAAAGAGACTGAGTGATGTGCAAAACAAGTGAATTCAGAACAAACACAGCCCAGGATCAGTCAGCCACTATTCCTAAACAGCTACTGTAAGTCTCTATGTGATCAAGGCCAGACTGGATCCGTACAGTGTGAGACGAGCTTTTGAAAGCTTTCTATTTACTTGAGCTGCTGGTTAAACTTGGCCCTTAAACCTCAGAAACCAAATCACTTGGTTGCAGATATCACATGAACACAGCAGGCTGGGAACCAGATATATCTCATTTAAAGTGCAAATTCAGCAAAACATTTTGTCTACACCACAGCTGAGCAAGTCCCCTTTATATGAGATGACAAGTCCTAAATTATTACATAAATGCTAAACTGTTGTAAGTAAATAGAAATCCTTTACTTTGACCAAAAAGCAAATAATGAATTTGAAAAAGAAAGTTGGTTTCCCACTAACACTTCAAATGCACACACAGCGCACAAAGATACGCAGGGCAGATGACAGAGTAAAGAAAGGTCAGTGTTGCAGGAAATTCTCCCAAACAGAATTTGAGGGAGGAAGAATCCCAGAAGGGTGGATTTATCATCACTAAACTTATAAAAAGGCTTGGATTAGAACTGGCTCAAGAGGACCAAAAGTCTGGAGAAACAGCAAGTGGTAATCTGGAGGAGGGCTCTAGACCAGCATGACCATAACCCCCACAAAGGAGCTGCTTCTGCACTAAGCCCAGATGGGGTACGTGTAGAATGGGCTGTTTCTGCTGCTGCAGATGGCAGTCAAGGTTAAGAGGTGTCTGGAGGCATGCTAGGAAGGAAAACTCACACAACTGTCTAGGCTAGAACAGGACATGACTTCTCCAGAGGTCTCTTGTATCTGTTGGGCAGGACTTTCTGGATAGGGACTAGGTATCTGATTCACAGATGACCTTCCAGAGGAAGTATGACCATCACCAGAATTTTAAATTATTTTAAAAAACAAAACTGGGTAGCTCGAGAAGAGTTATTTGAGACTGTCTTATTTTAGAGTTTCCACTAAAGGTCCTGTAGAGCCTCTGCCCTCCTTCAGAACCGGTCTAGGATTAGAAAACACTTGACATATGAACTGATATGTACTGTTCCTCTCCTGTTCGTCTTAACTGAGGGTACTGATCAAACCAAGCAGTAGGCACAGCACCTGGGATCTAGTCACAAATCTGCTGTGGTTTGACCTGCTGAATGCCAGGCACACATTCGTTCTCAGGTGTTTCAAAGATTTCTTCCAAAAGGAGAAAGCTTTTCACATTTCCTATCTTGGAACAAACTTCTGAAGAACTTAGAAAATAAAACTTGCTTTCCCCAAGAAATCAAGTATTTCTTGGATATGGCACATACTAGAAAACAGAGCAAGTTAAAAATGGCAGAGTTTCTTGCAGAACTTAATCTGCCCAAATGCAACACTGGTCCAAAATAGCAACACGAGTCTGTATTTCTGGCACAGAATCGAGCCTGAGAGTTTCCATTTGCTAGATATTATAGGTCATGTCAGCACTGGACACCTTCAGAATTATCTCCACCTACACACAATTAATCCTGTAAACTTACAGAGTTATCCACTGCCAATAGCACCTAGAGATCCAACCTTGCAACAGCATAAAGAATATCTGAGACATATCTCCCCCCTTCTAAGTTCATTTTTGCAGTCCAAGTAAAAGGGCATTCCCCTCCCCTCTTCCACTACTCCCTATGTCTCACATAACTCTCATAGCTGTCACATTTTTCCTTAAATGTGCTACTTGCCCACTGCTACACCTTGCAACTCTACACCTTCCTTTGGATTTCCAAACACACCTCCCTGTCTTCCCTCCTACTGCACTCAAACTGAATGAAGGACCCGTGCTTTCCCCCATGTATCTCTACTCCATTCCTGTAGATAGTTGCTCCAAGCTCCCAGTGTATATCAGGGTAGCTAGATAAGGGCTATCAAACTCATTCTTTGAAGATTTTCACAGATCACTCAACCAAAATCATAGGTCTAGATTTTTCAACAAATGTGCCAGACAAAAAGCATTGCTATTCCTTGGAAAAAATCTCTTTTGTGTCATACCAGTTATCCAGAATGGCTGGCTATCTGCAATACAGTTTCAGGTTCCTTCTTCATGACAAATGACAAAGATAGATGTCCCTGCACTCTGCTGAATTGCTTCCAAGTTTCACTTGGCTGCAACTCAGGATCTCTGTCAACATGCCACAGCCTGGCAAGATAGGATTGCTGGAAGGGGAATGTAGCCTCCAAATTGGTTATGTGTCCTAATGGCAAACCTCTCATCTCTGGCATTCAGATGCTGTTGCTCCTGTATACTCAGATCTTCTATATGAGCTGGGAAACAGGTGTTGTGCACTGGCTAACACTATGCTAGAATCAACTGCTCTTGGAAAACACAGGACCTGGAGAAGTCTGGAATAACATGCCATTGCCAGGGCAAAAAAAGATCTCAATGATCTTACATGGGGTTTTGCCTATTTTCACACCTTTCACCTCTTGCTTAGAAACTCTTCTTGGTTTTGCCACAGGTTTATTTACAGAAGCACGACCCAATAACTACGATGGAATTTTCCCTTTTTCAGGATGGCCTCACCCCTGTGTCTGTTTCATGATGAACAGGCTGTACTGTTGTTCCGCCTGATTGAATCTCAGAGCACTTCACAAATATGCATGGGGTCTTCTCTGGTATTGCATTAAAAAGGTACAAAAGCACACACTCTCTGGCCTGTTCTGTCATTTTCCTAACATCCTAGTTGGCAGGAGACAGAAAGCTAGAGACCCCAACTCTTCAAAGCTATTCATTTGCCTTATTCCAATTAGCTCTGAAAGATCGAGGTTCACCTAGCCATATGTGCTGCAGAAACACACCCATCACCCTGTTCACACCTGCTGGACATTCATTCTGCTAAAAAAACCCCAAAAACTGTTGAGGTTACAAAGCATCATTCTATTGTGAAAAACAGATCCTAGTGTGGTGAAGAGAGGAGGGAGGAAGAAATCTACAGCAGAGCTAAAACAGACAGAAAAAAACATTTGTTCTTTAAGGCTTCCAATATTCCAAATTAGAAAACAAGCATGTAGGTTTTCTTGCAACGAGCCATGAGATTTGACTCTGTTGGTAGTGGAATTCAACTGCATAAATGTAACACCCAGAATGCTCTGACACGTAAACACCAGTCTTGTCTCATGTCAGACTATCCTACCACCTAATATCTGAGACACTGTGATGTGACCTGGGCATTTGAGACAGCACAGAAGGAAACTTACAGGTCAGAGAGGTCCTATTTGCCTCATTGACCCTGTAATATTCCAGAGCTCTGCAGGATTGATTACTCAGGCTCAACCAATGGCCATCCAATGTTTTGCTCAATTACATGACATGTGCAAGCTGGTGGACAGAGACTTTGTTGTCCCAAGCAGAAAACACTCAGATGAACTGACAAACTGCTCAGCAGGATGTCAAGGGTGCATTGATAGCATCTTCTTTGGGTATGTGACTGGAAGGTTTGATTATCACCAACAGTCAGATGACAGAGAAGTATCTCCAGGGGGAAAAGCTGAGAACTAAGTCAAAAGCCCAAGGTCCGAGGGGCCTATAGTCCTTCTGCTTTTCACCAATGCTTCCTCCATCCACCTACAGCCAAAACCATGTCGAACAAGAATCCAGAGGCCCACTGTGAAAAGCTTAAATATTGATAATTAAAAAATAAAATAAAATAAAAAATCCATTCAATTCTTTCCTACTTTGATTGACCAGTGATCCAGCTGGGAGAAAGGAATCCAATTTTGAGATTCAATGAAACCTAAAATGTGATCAGATCCTTATCCTGCCCCAAAAGAGATTCTGAAAAACTCCTGAAGTCCCACAAACACTTACGCTTTAGTGTAGTTCAGAATGAAGTCAATTCCCTTTTCATTGTCAAACTGGATGTCACGAGGCAGTTCACTGTGAGAATGGGCATCGATGCTCAGGGGAAAGCCAGGATGCCACTCCTTCCAGCTGAGAAAACAGAAGAGGTTTGATCAACCATTTAACCTTACCAGCATGAGAGCTGTGTCTTTCCTTTACCTACTCTGCTTCTGTGACTCGTCCCTATAAAGGAAATTTTTGGCATACTCAGGCCAAAAATAGTGACTTACATCACATCAATACCTACCAGTACCCTCAGAATCCTCAAGCACTGCTTGGCCATCTACCTTCACAAAGCTTGAAGTAACTTATATCTGCGGTATTTCTAAACACTTGTCACCTTTGATTGAAACTGGCATTAGCTTCAAATGCATTGGGAGGGGAGGGGACAGAGAGACAGACAGGTGTCCAATGCACACTCATTCTTGGGGCTGCATTTTTGCAGAACTGAGATCCGGCAGCTAAAATACTCAGACAAGTATTTAGATTCCTTCAAAAGGCACTCTCCAGGAGACTCAGATATCCTTGATTCAATTCCTCAACCTCCTAATGATCATGGCACACATTCTCTGCTCCATTTTTATTTCAAAACAACAGAAAGTGAACTGTAAAGAATAGTGTTTCAGTGGTATTTCCAAATTGCCTGCCACACACAGACTGCATTGTGTGTTATCAGTTATGCATCTGAATTGTAAATAGCTATTTCCCTGAAATTACAAATGATTTTGCCTTCCTTCTTGCATACATAAATAAAATTTTGTGTCACACCTCTTTTCGAAACATATTTTTCTCTGCTCTATTTCCTGCAATTTGTAAGTAAGAGCCTTTCTTATTCAAATGATATCAACAACACATGGAGCAAGCCTCAATCCATCAATTCTGAATGGACCCTCTACCCTGATCCTTATTCTCATGATAAGGAGATGCAAGTGCAAGAAACTTTTGTTATTTTAACAGAGTACGTTTTTTGCACAAGGAAACGTCTAATGCCTTCTGGAGTTACTAGTTTATAAAAGACAGCATTTTCTCATTGTGACAATGATTAGGAAAAAATACCTATTACAGTATTAGGGTGGGTATCACAACTGTGTTCTGTTAGCACATTCCAGTCCACTCAAACAGGGACAGATTTTCCACTGCACCCTAATGCAGGAAACAACTATAAGTAGCTTGCTGCAGCAGCCAAAAAGCTCCAGTCAGAGCTGACATGTTCACATCATGTTCCAAAACTGGAGTACCGCTCATAACAGGCAAATGAAATATGCTTCCAAATCTTCCTTGAAAGCACAACTGTGTGCCAGAGGGCCCACAATTAGGCTGTATCACTGAATTTCCACTTAAGCCTTCCAGACAGCCTTATCTGAGATTCAAGTATCTTGTAATGTCCCTTGCACTAGGATGATCATCACTTAGAGTGAATTCCACCTAAGTAAAAACCAGATATGGCCAACATGGTAACTTATGCTTTCTCTTATCCAGGAGTTGAGTAATTAGAGCCATATGATAATCTGAACATACTCTCCCAAACTCTGAGCTGATGAGAACAGACCCTGGACCTTCTGGGGAGCAGCAGGAAACTCACCGGTACATTTTCTGACGGGACTCAAGCTCTTTGCGTCTGTGCTGCTTCAGAATCTGAGTCTTGTCATCTCGGGGGAGCTTTGCTGTGAAACAGGGAAAAGAGACAGGGTTATGAGGTTCCCCCACCACCACTGCCCAGGGGTTGAGAAGGACAGCAGAGTTTTCAAACCTTCAAACTTTTGATCTATACCTTTACAAAGTTTCTGTGGAAAGTGCTTTCATGATCCAATTTAGTACTTTGAGTAGAGACACAGGTCCTTAATAGAATCTGTGGAAGGAGATAAGCTCCTAAGTTGGTGCCTCCAAGGGGTAATTAGGTCAAGCTAGGAACATCTGTCTCAACTGTATATAAAACCTGGATTCCTAGTGTAGACACTCGCTGTATGTATCTAGTGTTAAATGGTCTGAAGAGGGTCATGGGAATTAATTTTACAGTTCAGTATCTAAGGGAATTTTCATCAATAAGAGAAACCACAATATTGTTCCAGCTCATCTTCTCTGCTAAAAGACCTCTCCAGGAAACATCACTGAGCCTCCCTCCTGAGAGACAGCTGTGCTCTCCCCATCAGCGTGGGGCAATAATCCTATCTTCCTGTCATGAGAACAGAAAGAAAAAACAAAGAGGCTTTATTTCCAGATATTTTGCTCTTCTGACCATGAATTCAACATACCACTGAATAACACAGAGACTTCCTTAGTGATCAGAGAAAGGGCAAGCTATGAGACTCACTTTGCATACACAAATGAGAGGGCAGATAAAACCAGCAGGAGTTTCATGACAATAGTGGTTTGGGGCTGGAAATATCAGAGATAACACAGCTGATAACATATATGGCTAATGGTTTCCAGCTGATAGTGTTTAAGTTACCAAGAAGGTTTCACTTGCTCTTGTCCTTAACCTCACCATACTCTGAAAGCCAAGCAAAGCTGTCTTCCATGGAAGTGTTACAGTTGTTATAAACCAAATTATGAAAAATTGGAAGTCCTTCTGGAGACCAAAAATAAACAGATACATAGTTGTAATTATAGGACAAAAGGCTTCAAATACAAAATTCCTCAGCCAGGAGTAGCCAAAAACTTAAGGGCAAGATAAACATTTATTTTCTACTACCTCATAACTTGTTTCAGCTGTTTTCAAGCACTCACGTTGCAGACCACCACATCAGCCAACCTACCCCAGGTAGCACAGAGGGGAACAAGCAAACATAAATATCTGCCCCAACCCTGACCACAGCAAGTAGGTAGTCAGAGACAGTTAAAATGCTTTCCTCAGTTGGTCACCAGTACTTGCAGCAGTCATATCCATCACTCTGCCTTGTCCTGGACTTGACAGCATGCAAAGAGGAGTGAAAAATAAGCTGCTGTTTCAAGTCAGTCCTTGCATCTGCTGACCAGTCTACTTTGGGATTTTATTTCACTCTTATGTAAACAAGACAATTCACAGGCAATTAATCATGGGCCTCTTGGGACCTTAGCATGAAACAACCACAGAACACTAATTCTAATTAGATCAAAAGGGCTTCAGCAATAGGTATGTGGAGCAGACAAAAATTTGGCATTAGGATCAGTCCTCAAATTCAAGACCAGTGTAACAAGCTAGCATAAGGATTCTTCCTTGTATGTGCTTCCCGAAATATCCAACCCAACTGCCAGTGCCTACACCAACAAGCTGCTCAGGAAGTATTCCTAATCAGTAGGGAACGTCCATTCTCTAGGATGCAGCAGGGGACTGGAAGTGCCTCTCCATATGAGAGAGACGATCAGGAGGTACATGGAAAAAGGGGAAGGAGAGAGAGAAGAATTCCAGATGTTCTGCAGGAAACCTGGTTTCTTATGGTTCTCACCTCTTCCATCTCGAAGGACAACCTCCTTTTCATCTGTAATCCAACGGTAACATGGGAACTCCAAATAGTCACCCACTGGTGTTTTAACAGTGACATACTTAAGGTACCAGTCATCCTGGTACCAGTACTTTCGTTTCTCAATTTTTATTAGTTGAATTTCTCCAAGGTCTTCTTCCACAGTCACATCATAGGAGTCAACCTGCAGAGCAGAATACAGTCAGTGATCTACTGCACAAGCAGGAAGCATCACCAGCATTACACAGGCACACCTGGTCCTTCCAGGTTCTGGTGGGTGAAAAAAGGAAGACCTACTATGTGGTTATCACTCAACTCGTACATAATCAAACATAGCTGAAACTACTGATTGCAAGATGTCTTGACCATCCTTTGATCTAGCAGCTGGAATGCTGTACGTACTCAAGAACAGGAATGATGTGGAAGAGTGGACACAAACAAGAGATAAGGATCACCAGTTGGACTTTAAGTATACCAGTTAGACTTTAAGTATTTAGACTATGTAGAGAAACAAAACTATAAATCTATCTTTTGATAATGATTAAAACACACATGTGGTATATAATCTGTACTCTGTGCATTAATAAACTGATTCAGCATCGAGTTTGCTGTCTCCGAGTCATACGCTGCGACACTATTATTAGACTGCAATGCAACAGAAAGATGAATAAAAGAACAAACAAGAACAGGCAAAACATTCCAGAAACAGAGAAACATTTTTGTATGCAACCGAAAAATGGTATTACTCCTTGAAATGTTTGCAAGTCTGGGAAAAATATGCAGGCCATGAAACCATCCACTGTTCTCTCTTGGCAACAGCTGAAAGAGGTACTGCTAGAGCACATCTACTCATGCAATTGGAGTGGAAAGATGATAATGGGATTAAAACATAGGACAAGGAATCTAAAGACTTTTGTATGTTAGTTATATGTACTTCAGACTAAGAACAGTATCCAGATCACCTAGATCCCCTTTGTCTTTTGCTTCCTATCCTTCTTCAGTTCTCCATATTTAAAATGAGGACAATGGTACATTTTGGTTTTGTACAGCTAAGATTTGAACAATGATATGTTTTATGTTTGTATGGCTCAGAAGTACAAGGGAATTTAAGTAGCTAACTGAAAACAAGGGTCACAAGAACCCCATCTAGCTCTGGATGCGCTTCATCTTTCACATAAAACAAGCCAGCGTGTGGAAATGTGGTGTAGCTCATTCTGGAGAGGCCTGACTCCTGCAACACAGCGGGACCTCAGCCCAGAGCTGCACAGTAGCTAGTCTGTTTAGCCCTTTTCCATGCTAAGGGTCTGGTCACAGTCTTAGCTGGTACTGAAAACTATGGGGACCACCCACACCTGCTTCTTCAAAGGACTTCTCCCATGCCTGCTCCTGATCAGGGACAGGTCCATGAAATCTTGAGTTAGTTGTCTTTCAGTGATCCAGGAGAGAAGCAGACCAGTCCCAGTGCTGCCCCTACACCAAGCTTTGCTGAGGTTTGGGGGCTGCAGCTCTGAAGCTCGTCAGGCTGAGGAAGTGAGTGCATACCACACTCTCCCTTTCTTGATGATGGCTCCAGCAGGGCTACAGAAGAAGTGGAAGCTACATGGTCAGGATATGATGCTGCACTTCTTCCCCACACTGAGCACTCCCGCCCAGCACAACAGCTGTTATGAATGCTGACCTAAGGGCCTTGCTAAATTGCCTGACATATTTAGGACAGTGAATACAGAGACTACAGAATTGTTAGGGTTGGAAGAGATCTCCAGAGATCATCTAGTCCAACCCTCCTGCCAAGGCAGGGTCACCTAGAGCAGGTTACACAGGAACATATCTCTTACGAATGATAGTTCTGGTGTCATCTGAACTACTGGGCATTACCAGCACAGGAATAAATAAGTAATTGTTTCAAATATGACTGGTAAGACACCATGTGGTGCTAGGCAATTCAGGGGAACGGGAATCGATTCGCACTCTCCAGAAGTCTGAACAGCTCAGGATATATGGGAGCAGCCAAGTGCTCATCTTAACAAAGCTGAATTGGGTACAGCAATCATGGGAGCAGCAGTCAAAGACTACCTTGCTCAAGTGACCCTCCTAAGCTTCATGTGGTTACAATTAGAGACTTCTTTCCTTGTGGTCTGAGCTATATTCTCCCCACCATATTAAAGCAAAAGACATTGAACTCTTTCTTTTAAAAAGGAAGCCCATCGTGTCTTAAATAAAATTTTGCAGTTTATGTCAATAGCACACCCAGACACATCAGGCGGTAACAAACTGCCTCACAAACAGTACAGCAGTCCTTGGCAAGCTTGGGATGACAGCATCTGTCTGCCAGGATGTGAGCTGAGAGATGAAAATCAGAGAGTAGAGATCCCAAGCAACACATTATAATAATGCTTATCACTTTTCCTTGCATCTCCATAGCAGAAAAGCTACAGTTCTTTCTTTAAAGCAAATAAATAGAGTATTTTTAAATATTTTTTTAAAAAGTTTATGCTGCAGGCTCTTCAACCCTGCCATCCCATGCTGGAACAGCTAAAAAGATAATGTACAAAGATAAATTAATTCCCTTGATGATTCATGATTCTGAACCAGTGGTGGAGACTGAAAAATGTTGAGTGGCTTTTCTCAGAAATCACATTCATTGTGCCTTAACACAGAACTATCACTGTCAGTGACTGCAGGAAATACCCCTGTACTCCTGGCTAAGTAAATGGAGATTCCTTCCTCTCACAATGCCACTTTGAAACACCACACCTCTCATCTTTGCCTTTCAGCCCACACCCAATATTCTCAGCTTCACACTTGTGAACTGGCACAAAAAATTCTGGATGATGGCTGAAAAACACAGAGAGCATGCTCAGACTGATTCCCATTCTTCAATCTTCTTTCCAGAAACAGGCAGCACTTGAACCATTTCTATTCCATATTCATTTCCCTGCAACTCCTGGTCTTCTCAATAAAAACTGTCAATAAACTCTTTACCAGGCTCAGGTTTCGCACTTAGTCAGTACTTCTGCAATTCTGTACATCTTTCCAGGACCAGATGGCACTTTGCAGAAGAGTCCCTCGTCACAGGCTGTCATACCATGTTATCTCAACGTCAGTCACTTCCTGCTTGCGCACCTCTTTCTGCAATTACAACAAAAAATGAATTTTCTCCTTCCATTTTATCATGCTCTTGTTGCATTTGGCAGTCAGAAGCTGGAAGCCTTGCAGAGACACAGTCCAAACAAATCCACAAACACATGTGAATTATTACCCATTTGTGTTCATCGTTTTAAAGGGAATTCAAACATCTAAAGGCTAATGCAATAACATACAGAAGCAAGTGATAAACTGCATCTGAATGAGATTTGCTTTTTATTCAGCTACTTGAGATTTTTATGCTCCGTCTTCTCACTCATTTCCAATTCTAGGGCTAATTGTATAAAGAGGAAGAATAAGGTGATCAAAACCAGTGTCTGGTTAGAGAAAATATAGTGCAGTATTTTTAGCTCAAATCCATACAAAACCCCATTGCTGCCAGGTGATTAGCATGGCACAGAAAGCCTGAAGTTAGTCTTATTTTCTCATTAACTCCTTCTTGCCCAAGATATCTTTCATTATTTTAAATTCATCTCCTTTAAAGGTTCAGCTAAAGATTTCATTTTTTAAAATCCACATTTACAGATATATATTTCTAGATTTCTTATAATGTCATACTTATATGTACGTACACGTAAGATTTAAATTAAAGAGCAATGGGAATCAAATCCAAAGAGTTGATGGAAACGTCCCACTGACAGCTAATCTTCAGAAGAAACTCATTCCTCTGATAACAATCTACTTGCCAATATTACAAGGGCCTCGAAATAGTTACTGTTGATGTAATGTAAAAAGGGCATGCAATTAACCTAAATGCTCCTGAAGGGTTTTAGTCTTTTTATGACCAACACAATTCCAATTTTAACGGCACTTCTGAAAGGCAGGGCTCCCTCCTGGTATCTCACACAGCTTCTGCTCCTCCAAGCCAGCAATGCCACAGGCTCACCTGAGATGACAATTTTGCTAATGCAGCAAAGGTGTGTCAGGTTAGAGACAGCATACAAAGTCCAGGTAAGAACTGACAGTTGGTTGCTCAAGGTTTCTATGACATTTGTTGCATTTGTTGTACGAGGTCTCTTGTTAAAACACCAAGATGACTGCACAGTGAGCCAGAGATGCTACGAGTTTTTATACAGTTTGAATTCAGAGTGAGAGAACAGAATTAATTAAGGTTATGAAGACTATTGGACTGTCTAACCTCCTGTAGCATCCTGTTCAAGCAATTTAATCTCATACAAAACCTAAATTCTCCTTTTGAGATGAAATTCCTACTGACTACCATTATATTGGAAAAAGGACGGCACAGACATCCCCTCTTTCTATAAGCAAAAACTTTTAAGTGGAAGGAACTGTATTTCTCTTCTGGAAATACTTGTGAGTGTATTTCTTAAAACAAAAGCAAAAAGCAGATGAAGGGGAACAGGAAGAAAGGAGAGACCTGAGTAACACCATAACACTTGCTTTGAAATTACTCATCACCAAAGAAATTTACTCAAAAGACACAGTAAAGAAAAGCAGCCATGACTTTCAACTGCATCCAGTACTTGAAGTAAGTCAGACAAAAACTACAACTGAGCTAATCTTGTGCAAATCCCTTCAGGTTTTTCCACATACTTTTCCCTCAATCAACATTTGGCATGCAAATCTCCTACTCAGAACTGACCCAAGCCCACCCTCATCATATCTAGTAATATACACAATTTGCAATAATTCAAATGAAGACATTACCAGGACAATGGAACTACAGAGCCTGGCCCCACATTTAGAAAAAAACTTGGAAAGCAGACAAAGCCTTACAAAATAATATGGCACAATTCAAGTCATCTGTTAAAAAGTGCATTTGGCTTTGCAAATGTATTAACAAGTGAATCTCTTGGCAGAAGAGAAAATTATAGAGATGTTGTTGAAAGAAGCTCTAAAGGCGGAACTGTGAAAACAGTGGCTACATTTTGCAAACCAACAAACCTCAAAGTCTTCTGGCCTGCTTCAGGTTTTTGTTTGTTTGGTTTTTTTGTTGTTTTTGGTTTTTTTGGGTTTGGGGGTTTTTTGTGTGATTTTTGGGGGGGGTTTGGGGGGTGGGTTTGTTTGGTTGGTTGGTTGGTTTTGTTGTTTTTGGTTTGGTTTTTTTTTTGTTTTCTTTTTGGTTCCGTATTGGTATTTTTCTTTTCTTTCCTTTTTTTCTTGCACAACATATTAGTAAGACTCAGAGTGTTCTGTGCACAATGTAACCTGAACAGGTGCCTGGAGAAACACATTGCACTCCCCAAGAAAACATCTTCAAACTCAAAACTTAGCACATCGTACTGCAAGTGTTCCATGAGCCAGACACTTTATGGAACACAGAGTTACTCTCATTGTCCACCAAAAATATGTGTTGAAAAAAACGACTGCATATTTGCTGCTACTAAGACCCCCAAACCTCTGTTCATTGCTCCCTCACCCAGCAGGATGTACCTCTGCTCCTACTGGACCTGGTCCCACTGCAGCTGAAGAACTGCTGGTGGACATATACTGAATGCTCACACCATGTCATTTCCTAGTCCAGACAGATGCTCAGAGTACTACCAGGCTCTTCATCACAGCCATGTCTCAAAGACAGTGAAACCCTCTTTTGTAGCCCAGGAATAAGAGCAAACTGAAACCCTGGTGGTTGTCTCCTCAGCCAGGCAGGGCTCAGCCCTCTTGGGAGAGCACACTAACCCTATGTTAGCAGGACAGTCTGAGGTCTCCTTCAACCTCTCTTGCTAATGTTGTTCAGCTTTGCTTAAAGTATATGACTATTCACCAGATAAGAGAGAAAGAACGACTGGATGTTCATATGGGAGATTCAGGTAACAAGGGTCTAAACTAATGACTGTTTATCATGAAAGAAAATTAACTTTAATAGCAGCAGTTGGTAAATATCTAGGGACCATAGCTACACATGCCATCAACACCTACTCAAAATGCTGACTTCTGGTAACCACATCTGCAATGTCTAACATAGAAGAGACCAGGTACTTAGGCTGTGAACTCCATGGTTGAAAAAAACATACCTAAAGCAAAGCAGCACCACGACAGCTAAGACTCACTTGCACATGCAGAGGTAGGTCTCACTTCCAAAGTGACTTATGAATACTTCTTTAAAACTTTCAAAGTTGCTTAAATGTCACCAGATCTTCTGGAAACTGTGAATTAGGTTTCCAAATGAAATACACATTTTGGGAGGGGGAAAAAAGGCTTGAGTCTGTTATTTCCACAGTGGACAATAGGCAAATAAATGCCATTCTAAACCAGTGCTTACAGCATAAGCAATTACATATGGATAGTCCTAATACTGTGATAAGACCACAGAGAGGACAGGGCACAACACATATCAGAAATCTAGGTTAGGAAGAAGAGCAAAGCTGATAGCCCAGTCACAATTTCATTCTCACATTTACACATTCAAGCTGGTTTTCAACTTTCACTGAGTTGCCCTACACATTTCCCTTGGCAGGCATTGTAACTCGCACTGGAAGTTCTTACCTCTTTAATTTCTTGGAGGTAGTAGGGTTCTGACTACTAGTAAATATGGATTCTAAACACCTATCAAGAGGAAGCACCCACATTTTTTTAAGTATTTGTAAAGAAAGTACGAGGAGATCTGAAAGCCCATTGTAAGCAAGGACCAAAGGGCCGTATCTTTCCCTACGACTGAATGACCACAGCCAGGGCTACCACCTAGGGCAGGGATGCGGATGACGGGCGGCATCTCAGTCCCGGTGTCCCACTTCAGAGCACCGGCACGCGGGGACAAGAGTTTAAAGAAAGCCCAGCCCTGCTCGGGTCCGGCCCGAGGCACCTCGGGGGGACAAACGCGTTGTCTCGTCCGCGGGGCAGCCCCCGGGGAAGGGACTCACCGCGCCGCGCTCGAAGTCGTTGTAGAAGGGCTTGTCCAGGAGGTGCCTCTCGCTGCAGCCCGACGTGCCCTGCAGGGTCAGGTACACGTAGTCGTCCGTGCCCGCGAACCACTGGCTGCCCGTGGCCACCGTGACCGTGTAGGACGGCATGGTCCCCCCGGCTCGGCTCGGCTCTGCAGGGCCCCACCGACCCGACCGGCGCTGCTGAGCCGCGCTCCTGCCTCAGCCCCGACCCTGCCCAGCGCCGCCGCCTCCTCCGCCACCGCACGGCGCGGCTCGGGCTGCCCGCCCCTTCCCCAGCGCCCGGCACACCTCCCCGTCCTGCTCAGCCCTCTCGGCACCCCCGGCACCCCATCACACCTCCCCGTCCCTGCATAGCCCTCCTGGTACACCTCCCCATCTCTGCTCAGCCCTCCCGGCACCCCTCCCCATCCCTGTAGAGCCCTGCCGGCAGTCCGCCCCGGCACTCCCGGGCAGCCTGTGCTGCACTGTGCCCCTGCCCCGGCACTCCCGGGCAGCCTGTGCTGCACTGTGCCCCTGCCCCGGCATAGCTGCCCCGCACCCTGCACTGTGCCCCAGTGCTGGTACAGCTGCCCCGTATCGTGCACTCCAGCCCTGCCCCTCACCCTGCACTCAGCCCTCTCAGTGCACTTGTCCTCCCACTGTGCACCAGCTCCGTGCCAACAGGCTTCACACAGCTCTCCAAGCTGTACTTTTAAAAACCTTCCACAATCGCACAATCCAACACAGCGTCCATAGCTCTGCAGCACAGTGCTCAGCACAGCAGTCCTGCTCCTGCCAGGCACAGCTGTGTGCAGTCCTGCACAGCTCACCTTCGCACAGCTCAGTGTGCCTCACCACCTCTACATGTACAGCATTTCATCTCAAACTGCTCTGCACTCTGTAACCTCACCTCTGAACCACTCCAGTTTGCAGGCATACCTGCTCTTCTACGTGCTTCTTACACGCATACTACACTGACCCAACACACTGCACGGATCTACCCCCACAAGCACATTGTATACTTCCCACTCTCTTCATCATCCAAAGTTATTCACTCTGTCATAGAATCTTTAAGGTTGGAAATGACCTTTAAAATCACCAAGTCCAACCAAGTTCACCATTAAACCATGTCTGTAAGTGCCATATCCACATTTTTTTTTGATGGGATGGTGACTCACACCATACTGCACCCTCATTATATACACTAAATCTGCAAATCTGTGTACAACTAACCCTTTCCTTAGGGCTAGACATCCATATGTTCCAATGCTTTATTTTCTGTATTCCTCTAAGCTTCTCAGACACCCTGTTGTCTTTGCACTACTGTATGAACACCCACTGCCAGCATATCTACACATCAAAACTGTACATACGCAACCATACACAACATACACTCTCCATTTCCACACAGCCCTCTAAAAATCCCACAATTTCACAGTCCCACCCTGAATACAACAAGCACCTGCTATAATTAAGATGCTGTCATTAGGAACAGAAGAGCTCTCTCTGCTCCTTCCAAACTCCAACTTACCCCAGAGAAATAAACCCATAGCAGTGACACTGCACACTTGGCACTTTGACTCCAAGACTACTAATACTGTTGTCTTGTATTTTCATCAAGTAAACAAATATCACATGCTGTCACCCCTGTTACCTCATTGATAATCTTCCTTCATGCTGCTGCCAGCAGCAGCTGCATGATACCGTGCTAAGAGGAGCCAGGCTGAGGCTTTTGCAGATTGCAGTGACCTTCCACCATTGCTCTGTGATCAAACCAAGCTCCTCATTTCCTTGCTGTCAGGCACTTTGCCTACCTGGTCTCTGGGCTCTTGTGAATTTCTAGTGGTAGATATGCAGAACAACCTAAATTAAAACCACCTCAGAAGTGCCTTACTCGTGGTACTTTTAGACCTGAGGTGCTGTGCTGGATTAATTAGTGTATGAGAGTAACTAGTCAAATCATACTTTGTTAGCACTTTCAGTATGAGGCCCTCTGCCCAGAGGGGAGACTATGTGGGTATTATGAGCCACCAACCTTCAAATACAGAGGAAACAAGCAATAACAACAGTTGGAAGTTATTGCTGCCTGTGCCCACTTGTGTTTCTGGCAAATCCAGCTGCAAAGTGCTTTGTGCCTCACGAGCATGGCTGCTGTGTCTTGGACTGCTAAGCAACACTGCAAAATATGCTTATGGATTCTTTGCTTCAGCTTCTAAAACTGCAGCTACCCAAGATGTGTTGTGGCCTGTCTTACTTATGTTGTAAGTTACTTACATGTAGTGGCTACACAGCAGTGGGGACAGCCTGTGCTGCTCTTGAAAGGATCCTGTTCTTCTTTCACAGAAGCACAATGATACTGGCTATGCTCACCCAGACAGGTCAGAGAAGGTCTCCTACATCTTTTCTGGTCAAGTAGAAACTCAACCATTTGCTATATTGTGACTTAGATTTCAAGGCTCTCCCACATTCAGGACATGCATTTACATATAGACATAGAAAAAAGTCAAAACTACTCAGCATTAATTTCTAGTCTACTGCTACTTTTTAAAGAACACCTAGAAGTGCAAAATTGCCAACTGTCACATGGTACACCTGAGGTAGCTGCAGAATCCCAGCCCAGATATCTGGCTTCTCCTGAGATTTAAGCAAGGGATCCTTGCTGCTGAACTGCAATCCTTTCCATGGACAATGTTACCACATACAAGTGCACCATAAACTCATTAAGAGCTTCCTCGTTTTCATCTTTCCTTTACATAAGATTTCAAAAAACTCTCACATCAGTTTCATTTTTGCACAAGTTCTGTTAGCCCTAAAATTCCTAAATTTAGGTTCACAGCCTTCATTGAAAGATATGTCTGAAACCCTTTTAGCATGCCAAATGCTTCAGAAACAGATTTGTCAGACACAAGGCTACCTTCTGGGCACCTTCATTTTCACTGCAAATATGGAGCAAAGTGGTGTTCAAACCTTGATAGGTGGGTTTCCACATTTCATTTCAGCTCTGTTGCAGCATTTGAACCGAAGTTCCATTTCCCTGAGTCATGAGTTCTGTTTTCATGCAGTTTGGGTCTCTTCTGTACAAAGATATGACTGGGAGTCTCCCTATAGTGTTATAACTCCTCTTACAAACTCATTAAAAAATACTAGATGAACTCAGTCCTGTATATGAAATTTGTAGGAATTCATTTGTTACCTCTCGCCAGCCTTTTCACAGCTATGTCTCTTTTTAGTCTTGCTTTTACCTCTTGCTTTTACCACGAGGTCCACCTTCAAAAGTGCATTGACATTTACTTTTGGTACATTTTCTAATGCTTCATGAAAATCCTGTCAGACGAAATGGCAGGATATGCAAAAACCAAACCCAACCATTTTATCCAGCGAGTACATTACTTCACCACTGAGGATACCCACACTCTGTGAGACTCCGGCACTGTTCTCTTCCTTGTTATATCTGATGGCTGCTTGATGTCCAACAAGGAAACCACTCTTGGAAATGGTAGTTGGATCCCATAGCTGGATTTGAGGCACGTGTCCTAAAGATTAATCTACGGGATCAGACACAGACTTGCATTGCAGGGCTTCCCCTACTCTCCCAACATCACCCCGGATCCCTCTTGGCACAGTGGCTGAGATGCAGGGAGAAGATCGTGCCGCACCCTGCACATGTCACATCTCCAAGGGACGGAGAGGGGGCGCTTGAACTGCTGAGCCAAGGCGGATCCTGACCCCGGGTTTCCAGATTCCTTTTTGACACTACCAACCCACTTCAGGCCTCTGACCATCCTCACCACTTCTGGCTGTTCTTCCAGTTGGTGCATTTTAAAGCATACTGTGGAGCCTCTTGGTGAGGGCACAGAACCCAGGGGTCTTCCTAGCCAAGGTTCCAGCCCACACCCCGCTCCGGACACTGAGGACACGAGCCTGGGCACGGGCCAGGGGCTCGGTCACCACTGTCACCTCTGGGGGCTTCGGGCCAGCGCGGGAGTGACCCGGTAGCTGCAGTTCCCTCTTACCCTCATCCAGCTCAAAACCCCGTCGCGCCGGAGCCTGCACAGGGTCTGTGAGTGCCGTGCCAGGACACTCCGGTCCCGCAGCGCGGGAGGAAAACATCCAGAAACAGGGAACGCGGGCGTGGCTGCGCGGCTCTGCCATGGGGACGGGGATGATCTTAGAGGTAGAGTGCAAAGTTACCGCCTTTGCCAGTGCGAGAGTAGAATAAAAATAGATACATTTTTACTGTTTTAAGCTGGGGCTGCTGTTGTTGGGGGGCGGTAGCACCTGCTCTGCCAGCGTGAGCAGAGGCGAAGGCGTCAGAGCAATCGCTCTGTCATGGCCCTCGGTCCCTGCGGCGGACCGGGCAGTGCCCGTGTGTGCGGCTGCACAGCGGCAGCGCCGGCCCCGGGCACCCGCTCGCACGACCCGACAGCCCCGCCCGTCATCAGCCCGGGACCGGCACCCAACCCCGGCTTACTCCTCCCCAGGTCCCTTTCCTGGGGAGGCAGGAACCGTTCCTACATCACACTGTGCACTCCAGCCCCCATGCATCTCACCCACCTCGCTCCTCTCGTGAAGATGGTTTCACTAGGCAGCGGTGGGATCTGTGCGCTCACATACAGGGAGTAAGGAAACCGGGCTCTGAAAACATGAGTAGCTGCTATTCCTGATCTGGTCGAGTGTTGGGGGGATGGCTAGGACAGCTCTCTGCCAGGGGCAACACTTACTCTGCCATGGATTTTGCTGCTTGTTACTCACAGCTCCCCTTCACCTGAGCATCCCTCAGACTGGAAACTCACAGCAATAGCCAGCTGCTTTTTTATTTTTGTGCAATGCCAGTGAAAAGCAAAGTTGTTTTGTGAAGATGTCACATATCTTACAGCCCTCCTGAGGCTGCAGGCATTTTGGGTGGGCAGATGGCCCTCCTGAAATATGCTAATATGGAAGCAGGGAGGAATGATACAACATAGTAATTAACAAATGACAGAGGGGAGCAGCAGAGCCTACAGAAATTTCCAATCTACATAAATAATCTAAGGGGCATGGGGTAATAGATGAGAACACATGGGTGCTAATTGCATATTGCTCCACCAGAACGGGGACAAAAACCCCTCAATGTTCATAGAATTGCCTCTGTCCCATCTCAGTGTCCAGAAATGTACTTAGAGCGTCCTTGCTCTGCCATCCAGGCAGCGGCAATTCTGACATCAGCTGAATCTCTCACAGGGTTTCACATGGTTATATAAACACTTACTACAGTATCTTTATACCTCTTGTTCAAGGGACTATCCAGATCACAAGGCGCTGAGAGTCTCTCTATCCCCTCTTTCTGAGGTGGTGTTCCTGGGATCCTTCATCGCATTTAACGTGATGTTAGGACATCTTCCTCAGCCCTGAGGACCATAGGATCCGGGATTGCCTGACCTCATCACTTCCCCGTAAATGTGCAGATCCTCTCACTGCCTCCAGAGGTGTAGCAGTGCTACTCTGGCACTTAAGGGGAGGAGGGAAATAGAGAGAAAGCAGCGTGCTTTCAGGCTTCCCCTCCCCAAATCATTGCTGGGAGGCTGCTAGGGAGGAGGGGAGAGCAGAGGAATGGGACATGTAAGCCACAAACAAGGCAAGCACAAGGAATACAGCTGCATTAGTGCCTACTCTTTTGGTATCATTTGCACACATTTGAACAACTGCAAAACTAGAATAGCAGTGGGAGACTGAAGACTGCTGCAGAAGGCCTAAACCCCAGCAGCAAAGGGAGAGTCCTGACAGAGGCAACATCAGGCAGGTCCAAATTCATCCCTGAAATAATACCTCTAACTTCTACCACAGCTTAATTTGCTCAATGGAATAGTTTGGTTTAATTTACATCTGATTTCTCTGGTGTGTATCAACTGCTTACATGTGACCAAGAATGTAATATGGTCCTTAAAATAAACCATCATCTTGCTGGCATGAGAAACACTGGTTTAGCTAACCCCATTATCACAATCATTTCTCTTTTAACACAGCACTTTGAAAAGCAAGAAGGTAAACATGAGAGCAAGATAACTGGCAAGCCAGGCTTTGGAGATCTGGGTTTATCCACAGGAAGGGAACAATGGTACTTGGTGAGTCATTTTGGGATGCTTAGGGGTAAAGCAGATATGAAGTACTACATACACTCTCCAAGACAGCTGTGCTCTCTCAGCTGGGATCAAGTCATCAGCCTGACACATTTCCTATTCTCTCCCAACCACAAGGATAACTGTTTCCTGTGACAAAGGAAGCTGCTGTCCCAGCATCAGACCCTACAGCTCTAATAGTGATGAATTCTCCTAAGGTGCTTGGCTGCTTGTTTGCAGGTGGCCTTTAAAACAGTATCAGAACAAACCAGCACAGCAAGGCACTCCCAGCAAAAATGACTGGGAGGTTAATTTTAGTGAAGTCTTAAAATGTTAGGAATTGCAAGCCTGATTCTGTGAAACTTCAGGATTTAATGAGCACACCCTGAGTGGTGATCTCCACCTCCTCTGCTCTGTGCAGCCTTCTGGTGTTTTATTCAGTTATTTCAAACCCTCCTCTGATGTTAAAGCCTTTGAGACAACTTCATTTATCTCCCTCACTTTCAAGCAAGGTCTACTCTCTATTTTCAGATTTCAGTTCCTCTGACACTTTTTCCTAGAAAACACTTTAAAAGAGTATTGTGTAATGCACTGAAGTTGCTCCCCATTTCCTTTGTCCAGGGCTCTTATGATTTCTGGGGTTTTGTTTTGTTTTGGGTTTGTTTGTTTGTTTTAAAAAACACCTCCCCTGCCTCCTCTCTCCATTTAGCCAAGATCTTTTTCTATAATGAGATATTCTTGCCTGATTTTCTCACATCATACATCCATCTCAAGACTGTGAAAAAACATCCTCTTCTGTCTGTATTGTGGAAACACAACACAACGCCAACATGTCAGAGAGCATCCCATACATCAGAGACCAGAGCCTAGAGGATTTACAGGAAAAACGGGATCACAGGTGGACATTCACCCTTAATTTGGACAGTGTCACTTTTGGGTGCTCCCATGGTCATTCCACGATTGCTTCATCCTAGCACAACCCTCTTGTCCAGAGGCAAGTTGAAAGACTGAGGAAGGGGGAAGAGGAAGGAAATTTGGGTTGGATGAGTAGACTGAAAGGAAAAGGACAAGCACACCATGATATGGGTAAACAGGCTGGGGACAGTGAAATCTGAAATGGAGGGGTGGGTGACAGGAGAGGGCTTGATAGGGTGGCTGTGGAAGTGGAACTGGAGGAGGATGAACAGTCCCTGCAGCAGTGCAGGAGGTTGAGCAACACTGCAGGCACAAGCATGGCTCTTGAGAGAGGGCTTGGTTTTCAGAGTCAGCAGCTGCAGTTGCATCTTTTGACACCTCCATAGCCTCCACAGGGCACTCATGGATCTTCCCAGCTGCCGCCCTCCTGATTCCCAACTGCCGCCCTCCTGATTCCCAACTGCCTCCTTCTGTCCTGCTCTGAGAGGCCAGTCATGCCAGCCAGATACCAGTTACTACTCACCAGACAGTTCATTCCTGGGCACCAGCTGAAAAATCCCGTTCTTGGAGCTGCAGCCGTGCCATGTGCTGCTGAGTCAATGCTCTGCTCTGCCTCAGAGGGACACACTTCACACAGTGACAGCAATGCTCTTTCAGATGAAATAAGGTTTGCAAGAGGAAATAAGTTATTTTATAATTAACTTGAGATGCCTGAACCCAAGATAAGGAACATTTTTTAACCAGTAGCCAGACGGTTTTACAGGCTCTGTTCCTTAAACCATTTATCAGCTTTTAATCTCAGAGACTGCCAGTCAAACAGTAGGCCCTGGAAATTATCCTGCCATCTCTCCAGAAAGGTATTTTTGTATAGAGGTCTTGTTGGGTTCCAAACTTTATATAAGTAGCTTCATTTACTAGAGCCAGACTTCCTTTACCAAGGGAATATAGGACAGAGACTTTTGTTTTGCATGGGAGACACCTCTCTAGGGTTGCAGATCTAAGATTTCCTTTGTTACCTAAAAGAAAATGAAAAACTAATTATTAGTTAAAAAGAAACAGAAATGAAAAACTTCTCTTTGAGCCCCCTTGTGTCTGTTACAGACACAATGCTCCAGATCTTCTTTGATCTTTGGCATGTATGCCTTTGTTATGAGCTCTCTCACAGCAGTGCAGACAGCAGTTTCCTCGACCTACTGGGGGTAGAAATGTATTCCAGAGAAACTGCTGAGGATTTCCTGTTCTGTATACAAAACTATTTTTCTTCTTCTTTTCAGACATGAAGCATTTGTAGCATCACTCAGTGTTGATTCCAGAAGGTCTAGATTTTAAGGCCCACAGCAATCTTCTCTCCTCACCTCCTTCTTGGTAGAAGCCAGAAAAATCTCCCCATGATTCCTGCATTTGAGGCCAAAGCACCTGCATTGAAGGAGTTGCCCAATTATTCTTATGGTTACTACGCCTTTATCATTATGAATCATTTAACATCAAGTTTTCATGGCATGTTAGTCTGTGTTGGTCTGCTACTCTGAAGAGTCACCAAGTTCCATGTTTACTCCAGTGAAAGAACTCACTTTGATTATCTACTACTGCAGAACTCAATTTTTCTCTATATGCTTTTTCAAACAAAATGGATACTATAATGGTTTGGTTTTGTTCTGGTTTTTATAGAAACACTTTATTGCTGCAGTCAATAACCCTGTGTATCACACACCAATAACCAATTACAGTTTAAGAAACTAAAAATAACTCTGCAAGTGGCAATACTGAGAAAACAAACATACATGAAAGGGTACAAAACTATACATTTAAGTTACTAGAAATTTACTAACTAAAAAATTCTGCAGAAGTGTGAAGTGTCTTGTATAAACTATACAACACATGCCAGTGTAAAGTTGTTCAACATTATACAATTACCTATCTACAAATGTTTTACCTAAATACAAGATCAGCTGCAATTTTAAAACAGTTATCTTCTATACAAGACAAGTGCTTTCAGTACTTCATTGGAACATACAGACACTGCAATATCTCAAAACTAAAAAATAATCACAAAATAAAAGGTCCTGCTTAGAAGTTTTCTTTGCATATCTAATATAATGCTATGGAAATCCAACCAGTAATATCCTTGCTTTTTTATTTGCCCAGTTTCACCCATATTTGAGAGAGACCCAACCCAGGGTCACCGACCTCCTTTTCATTACTGGCCACAATCTCCACAGCCGACTACACCAGAAATCTGTATCTTAACATACTTCAGCTTCAGAAGAAATCTGGACCTGGGTCCCACTTCGCAATAGATATTTACCCTGCCTCCCACAGGGCAGAAGCAACCAGCTCCTGTGCATGGCCACATCCATGGACCACTTCAGAGGTTTCTGATGAGTGGCACACCAAGCAGCCCCCTCCTTACAGCACCCCAAGTGGTACTGTTCTGATCAGTACAGGGGGTTGGCAGAGGTGGGCTTGGACAGAGAATTACTATTGTTTCTTAGGATCTCCCAGGTACAGCACAGACACTCAGTATTTCTCTAACCCCTTGCAGGCTCGTTCAACCTTCACTGAATGCCTCCTGCTGAAGCAAAGCCAATCTCAATGATATTTAACCAGAGGAAGTCATCCCCAGGTCTGGCCATCTTTTCAGAATATGGGAACATTTTAAACAACCGCTCTCTAAATACAGGTTTACAGTTGAAGAAAGTCCTGAGAATTCATAGGATTATAACATCTCATGATCTCTTAAATGGGATCAACTTTCTGCAGCACACATCTATATTTCTAACATAATGCATGTTCATAACCTGGCAGATGGATCAAATGTGACACAGTGGGAAATTTACTCGGCCCAGATGGTGCTTTTTTGGATAGGAGTTACACCAATAGAATGGGAGTCTGGTCAGATGTCTAGGGCACTGGACATATCACCAAAGGCTCTGGCAATCTAGGGAAGGGATTGTGGTAGATGGTATTAAGCCTATTTTCCCTTCTACTTAAATTCTGGGCTCAGAAAAGACCCAAGGTAACCCACATGAACTTTGGCCAAGGTGCAAGGACCAGACTTCTATTTCAGTCATTTCAAAAGCTACCAGAAGGAAGTACTGGAAAGCCTGATCTGACAGGGGTTGGTTGTTCCCCTTACTGACACCTGGGCAGGAAGGACAGCGCTCACCTGAGCTAGCATCAGTGCCTCACAGCTGGAAGCTGAAAAAAAGTCAACAGTATCTTCTTGAGGAGAAAGAAGAAAAAAGCACCATTCAGCCTTCTCAAACATTCGATGGCACCATGCAGAAGCAGAGAACTGCAGCTTCAGAAGCCCACCATTAACACCAAGCAAGAATCAGCATAAGAAATATGAACAGCATAAACGAACCCCCCTGAGAGATGGATCTCTTCTGCAGCCTTTCCTGGTATGAGCATTCCTAAGCAATATAAAGAGTTTAAATATTAGGCCTTAATTTTCACTCAGAAAAGACCTGCTGGGAGAGGGAATGTTTAGCAGCAACACTGGCTAAAACACTTTCATTCGCAAATATTTTTCCCTAGATGATCTTGCTGGAGATGATTTTTCATTCGAAGTTAAGATACTCAGGGGCACAGCAAAAATCTTCAGTACCCTGAATACACTGAACACTACCTGGCATGTTCCACATGGAGTTTCCAAAACACCAAATGAGATTTCACAACATTTCACCAAAAATCATCTATGACAGTGACAGCAACAGGACCAGCGAGTTACAGTCTGATATCAGCACTTGTCAGAACATCACTCTCACACCAGTGCCTCTCGGATGTGAGTTGGAGAACAACCAGGTTTCATACCAGAACTTGTCCATCTTCATTTCACCTACTGGTCACAGATCGGACGAGATGCGCTGAGCACTGGTTGACAGCTGATTCCGTGCATCTTGCAGCTGTAACGCGAGTGTCTCACAGACGGGTAAGCCTTGTGCACTTGGGCATTTCAGAAGAACTTGACGAAGGTGTGCAAGACCTGATATTTAACCCACCTGAGTTTATTTAGTGAATCTTTCACAGAACGAAACAGAAAACAGAACAAGACAGTGTATTATCTGGGTTCCCATAACAGAAGAGGATCACCCACAGCAGAGTTCAGGAAAGGGCCTGAGTAATTGCACTTTAAATTATGGCAGGCACAGGCAACAAACTTTACATGTCATGAAGACTGCTGCCCCGATATTACCAGGGTATGCAGGGTTTGTCTGCCTGTATCACTTAAGCACAGGACATCCTGACACCTAGTACAGTACACAGACCCACGCCAGTGCAGCTTTACTAAGATTGCCCAGAGGTCTGGATGTTTTAACACATCTCAAGAACAAGGTACTGTGTTGTTCAAGATCACAGACAGTAAGCTTCAAGCCTGAAGTGACAGAGGCACATGTGCACACACAATACTTTCCCTCTAACAGCTCTTAGAAATCAATGGTATGTGTTCTCTTACCATAGTCCCTTCTGCATTCCATTAAAATATTGATTCAGAAATGAAGTAATATTAGATTTTAAGCAAAAAAAAAAATCACTGGTATCTTAACTATTATTGTTTGAGAAGTCTTAAAATAACTACTTTTACTATGAAAAGAATGTACTCAAAGTTGCACTTGAAAAATACTAAGTGAAACTTGAACAAGCTCGGAATTTAGTTCAGTATCTCAACAAGTAAACAAAAACTTTTACCTGAGAAGTCCAGGCAACTCCTACTAAAACCAACCAGATTATTATCATTGACTTTACAGAGATTCAGATAGCGCTCAGGCCGGGAAGGTCAGCTTTCAAATGCAGAGACTCTGTGTGCTGACTTTTCGTGGGGCTTTGCTTCTGCTCCAATCACACTGAGACTTTGGTTAAATGAGGCCTTGGAGTTGAACAGTGGTGCAGTGAAGCAGACTGGACAAATGAATCAACAGCAGATACCCCAGGCTTTGGGTACCTCTGTCTAAAGCCAGGCAAACAGATTTTAAAGCTGTTCCTCTCCTTGCATGAAAGCTGACTGATTAAAAAGCCAGCCTCAAATTCAAAAGCACAGACAAAACTATTCTCTGATCACATAGTGCATCACATCAGGACTAAAACCAGGCAGGTACTTTTAAACTCATCCACTTAATATGATATTTACTTCCTAAACTTTAATCTCAGCATCTCTTCTGACAACATCACATTCTTGGGTAGTTCACACGTGACACAACACTAAAGAAGCAAAACCAGTTTCAGCTGTATTGACAAAGCTTCCTTTTTTTCCATAACAGCTCACATGTTTATCAATATAGCAACAAAGCCTTTGCTAATGGTTTGGAATGAAAGTCAACCAGGTATATATGTGCAGGTGTGTTTATGGTCTGACCTGTTGGGGGAAAAAAAAAGCAAATCCAATCCTGAAAACAGAGCACTGAAACCATTATGTATTGAAAATGAACACTGTACACATCTACTATTCCCCATACACAAGTCACAAGTGCAATATCCTTTGAAGAAAATTGCTCCTCAAAGGAAACCCAAACAGGCAATGTTTTTTAGTGTTATGTTTAGTAAGATAATGTGGGCATGTGTTGAAAATCACAGGCTGGAATTTTTTAAATTTTTTTTTATAAGGCAAGAGGTTTATGTTCCAGAAAAATAGATGGGGTAAAGAACAAAGAAATGTTTCAAAAATGACACATTCTTTCAAGTTTCATTCTCATTTGACATACATATTACAAAATAAAGATTTTTAAAAGTGCTATATGCTTTGTAAGTCTCATCACAATATGTAAAGCAAAATTTTACACCTGCTGCCTACGACAAAATGTTAGTGGCAGTGTTAGTGGTAGATTAGACTCTAGCGCTCTCATTTCCCTCAGTGTCTGGGACAACCTCCTTCATCATGCATAAAGAACAGACAAACCAACCAACCAAACCCACTCTACACATACTCCAGAATAAGTCATCTTTAAAGTAACAGACTCCATGAAGTTTATGACAGCTCACTAGCGGCTTGCTTGATACCAAACCCAAGGCTCATTCTACCCAATATCCTGTGACTCTCTGATCAGCCAGTACAAGACACAAAATGTTGAGAGGTATGCAACCAAGATGACATTGACAGATATGCCTAAGGGATTTTAAAAAATTCCAACAAAAAAAAATGTAAAAAAATTCATCCGCCAGCCCTCAGCTATTAGCTGATTTTAAAAAGGTAGAGCAGTTTGCAGTAAACAATGATATTCAAATCTTCAAGGACATACAGAAACACCCCTCCTACCCAGCAATCAGACATGAAGAATTTCTGCAGCACAGTCTTCTGGCTCTGTGTAATGTGAAGAGTTTGTGTCTGAATGGTGAACCCCAAACATTTCTTTACTTTCAAAGTTTGGCTCCATTAGTGCAGGTTTTTCAAAAATATTCTTTTTGCTAGTTTCTGGGCAGTTTTGTACATATATTACTCGGTTATAAGCTTTAAGTCTCTTCCACAGCTGTACGTACACTTTGCATTGTACATACATGAACAGAAGTCCTCCAGTGAAACCAATGGCCACAACTACCAGTTTAGTCCAAAATGGCCACTCTAGAATCCCTGGAAGAAAGAAAATAAAAACAAAGAATTAAAAACAGGACCTAGTCAATATTAGTTGGACTACACTGGATGTCTCAAAAATGTCCTGTAATGAAACTGTCAGACTTTGGGTCATACAAACTATTCTTGTGTTGCCATTTTTCTTGTTTGGGCTTTTTTTTTATTCCCCTTCAAGTCAAACACACACAGACTTCTACTTCACATATCACATTTATTCTCCCCCACCAGCGAAAAACAAAACAATTCCTTTTCTGTGTCAGCAATTGTGCAACACAATCACAGAGTCAAGGCAACCACCAGGAATACATTTAGGTCCTTTTACACCTGTTTTTAAACAAAAACTGGATCAAATTGTGAAAGGGATTCTATGGCATGGTTTCCTCTTTATAGCAGGAGACTCAACTCAGTGACCAACAAGTCTGTCCCACTCTGTGATCACATGGTATATGGAGACATAAGGGAATGATTGTAACCATATAGCTTGACATGTTTGTTATGCAGACCAGGCAATTTTATCTGCATCAGACCCAGTAACTTGTATCTGATCTACGGCATCTCTTCTGATGCAAAACTGAAAGTGTCGGAGATGCTGAAGCATTCCAAGCTTACTCTGTCATAAAAACTACCACCATTGCTTTTCCTAAATTTATCTATCTTGATCTTTTAGATATTTCTATCAACTACTTTTAAATGAAAGACTATTTATTAATTTTATATTTTGCTTACATAGGTCCTGTATTCATCCAGTCTCTTTCCTCTTTAAAGATAAGCACCATCACAAGATGGATATGAAACCATGTTGAATCACCCACTGTCAGGTTTGTCAGAGAGTAAAATCATGTCCTTCCAACTCTTTAAAGTTTTAAGCAAGATACAGGCCAGTGTTGTTTTGGAAATGCATGGTAGTGTGGGAAGAATGAAAATATTTTAGTCCCAAAATATGAAGGGCACTTCAGCCTTATTACTGATGAAATCCCACCCATGGATGAATACCTGAGCCTCTGATTTGTTGGTGATCTGATGCCATCTGTAGGCAGTGACAGTATATGCTTGGCCCTGTGTGGACATAAATTCACATACGCTGCTCAGTACAGCACTCCCCAGATTTAGAATCCAAATGAAGGGAGGAAAGAAGGCACTATAACATTCTAAATATTCACGCTATTCCTCCTATTCATGTTCATCTAATATATTTACTAGCTAAAATAACCTGGAGATGATAAATCTTTGAAAGCATATTATCCTTTTCATTACCATATGGAAACCTTGCAATGAAAGGCCAATAATTTTCACTTTACATGAAAGAGATGGGGTTGGATGGAACGGATACTAAGAGGTTTCATTCAAAGTAGCTTCCTGACTGAAGTAATGAACAATTAAACTATAGCCCAAATGAGAAATGAGAGGAAAACTTTTTAATTTCAAGTGGTTCTGCTCTGTAACAGCTCCATGGATCTGCAGGTTTATTAATGCTCGGCTACCTCCTCAAATGACCCTGTTCAATCACCAGCAAAATATTTTCCACCTCCACGTCCAGTTGGCATGCAGTGCTCTGTAAGCAAGGACAGCTTGCCTTCTAACAGCTCCCAGCCTTGGTAGGTAACCTGTTCCTTCTGTATTAACCCTCAGGCACAGCTCAGTTGCCTTGAGAAACAGTTCTGTGGCAGCTTCAAATCTGCACCCCAGCATACCCAGGTAAACACATTTCAGTTTGGTAAGTTTACTGCTGACATGAAAACCTGCTATACAAGAAGTTAAGACATCCATGCAATGGGGTGGTAGCCACTACAGGAACTGCAGTGCACCTCCTCTCAGTTGAGTGAACTGGAGTCTTAAGAATTAACCTGAATTTCTTCTGCTTCAGAAGAAGTTTTTATCACTCATAAAAATTTCTCCAGTCTAACATGGCTTTCATTGGAAACCTGTGCTAACCCACCTCACAGATGATTGAATAGAAAGAAAACCCTGTTGATTTACCTCAAAGATTTGGATTTAGATTCCTCTTACTTCTTCTCTTTTTTAAAACTGTTCTGGTTTTGCCCAGTTTAAAGGTAGCCATAGCAGTAAACAAATGCTTACGTCCTTATCTGCACAGTAAGTGTTCCAATTTAAGCCTAAATTTACTGAGGCAGGGCAACTTTGTATCTGGTTACACTGGATTAGCTGTCATATCTGTGCATTTCACAAGTGCAAACTAAATTATCTGAAATGGATTTAAAAAGCATCCACAGATTAATTTACACTGATTTAATCAAATCACTTTAGAACTGTGCTTTTAAACTAACCCAACCTCAGGGTAAAGCTGACAAGTATAAACATTACTGGCACACTTATGTTCTGCATCTTCTCTGCATTCAGGATAAATAATTATTCCAAAAGAGTAAGTGGGAAGATAAGGAAGTAACATACCAGTAGTTTGTCCCTGTTTAATCTCTTCAGCGGTCCTGTCTATCAGGACGTAGAGAGACCACACGACGCAGGTGATGGCAATGATATGGAATGTTACAGAGCACATGATCTTCCTCCTCTCGCTGGCTGTCATCTGCAGCTTCTCCCACTGGCAAGAAACCCAGAACCAGAGCAAGAAATTAGGTGTTTATTGTAGTTACTAGAGAGTTAGAAAAGAGAACATTGATAAGAATGAAAACCAGGCAGGAGACCAGTTTCCTCCTAACAAGGATTTTAAAAATCAGATGGCATTATTGCTCTGGCCCCAGCTCTGGTGTGACGGCTGGCAGCTTAGCCTGCTGTGACGGGAGCCATCCTGGTGTTGGAGGGGACCTGCAGCACTCAGCTCCCATCTGGAGCCTCAGCACAATGTTATCACTCTGTGCTGACCCACAAGGGGCAGCTGCAGCACACGGGGACCCTCATGTGAGGCCTTGCACAGCACAAGCAATGCTGCTCCTTCCTCTGTTCTCCACTCAAGGCTGTTTAGCTCTCACCTCCTGCCTCAGGGGGTTTCATTCAATCTTCACGTATATTTAACATCACTTAACAGCAGTGACGCTCTCGTAGTTTATTTTCAGTGTTTCAAGTGCACTTAAATACATATGCCCTAGGAATATACAGTAGAACTGGGATGACAGCTTTAGAAGTGAGACGACTCAGGAATTTAAATCCCCAGACCTGCCTCTATCAATAATGCTTATATAGCCCAGAACAAAACCACAAAATCAGGTCAGTGTCATTTAGGAAAGATGGAAAGAAAATTGACAACTATTACAGATGCTTCTAATATTCAAGACATAGACCCAAGACACCCAAAAGCTGTGTTTTTAAATATTTTTTTTTTCAATTTCCCCTATGTATATGATGAAAGTTTTTGTATGTGGGATACACATCCCTCCGCATATCTGCTTGGAACAGATTGTTATGATGGGCTTTTCTCACACTTTCACAAAATATATGCTGGGGCACATAAACTTCTCGTGCACAGAGATGCTCATTTGACGTCTCCAAAAATAATTTGCAAAAAAAAAGAGGACTTTGAAAAGTAGGAATAATGTGGAAGAGGGTGAGGACGACCTGAATGGTATGACTGAAATCACCCATTATGCTGAATTATTGTTTCCACTGCCACAAATACAAGAACGGTTGAACGATGAGACAGAGACTTTGTGATCCTCTCTGTGTTGCCAACAAACAATCTCTTTGGCCAGTCTGAGACACATTTCCAGTTGTGCGGGCATCCAAACCTCATCGTGGCACAGGAGTTGAATACTTCCAGCAGTGACATGCTAGATTCATGTCATACTAGAAACCTATATTCTTTTAATCTTCTTAGAAAGAGATTGGACAAACATTCCCTTTTCATGTTGTATTTTAAACAGAAAATTGCTTTTGCATCTAAATGAAGGTGTTGACTTTTGATAGAAAGTATACATTAATTAAATTATTTTGCCAAAAAGTAACCATGTTAAATCTATTTGCAAATGCTTTTACAGAGTCCTGAGGACCTGTGTTTTGAATAATTTATAGTTCTCTTTTCTGTTCCACAGCTTGAGCTCCTCTGCTGGACAATACCTCCTGTGAACTGCTGGCTTTAGAGCCACCAAAACTACTTGCACTGCCTCACCTCTTCAAGAGAAATGACTGCAAAGCAAAAGAGAAGGTATTCTGCAAACCGCACACTAGTCCAGAGAGGAAACTCACATCTGTAGGTCACTGCTGCATTATTCCGATGACACAGCATGTGGCATTTTCTACTTAAAATAGTCAGCAGTTCTGGATTTTTGAAGTGTTGTTAAAACAAAAAAAATCAGCAGAAAATTTAGATTTAATGTCTTTGAAATTTTAAAATGGTGCATCTCTCTTTTGTCTCCCCTCATCTTCATTTGAGATATGACACATTTTGTTTCTCATTCTCTTCCCTTAGTAACTTAGTGTTTAAACAGCCCAATGCTGCAAAATAACTTTAAGATACCAAGGAAGTTTAATTCCATTTCTACTCTACAGACAAGCACAAGCCCCATTATTTGTCCCATCCCATTCATAATCACCAGTTCCAGATTGTTTGCTCCTGACTGAAAGGACACCATAAAGGCTGAGCTGAAGCTACAGAGGCACCTTATCTTCTTGCTGCAGCTGAACCTCTAAAAGGGCTCTTTAGATGTATTTGAGAGGTGAACTCCTGTTTATGGCTCTGTCCCTACCTTCTGGCATCTTGTCTGTTTCCCACAGATGACCTGTTCAGATATAACTAATGATGTTGAGTGACTCATTTCTGAAAGTGTCCCACATTTTTTTTCTCACAGGGCACAAATATTCAGTAAATGTTTCCCATCCACTTCAGGCAGAGTGAGCACAGAAAAAACAGCAGTCAACTGAGAACTATAGCAACTCCTCTTATTTTGGATTCTCTAGAATAATTTCTTTAGTGTCCTAGGGTTGGACTGTGCAAAGCATTGCCTGCACGGACAACAGAGCCTATGATGGCCAGTACTGCAGCTCAATAGAACCTCAGCAGGAAGTTCTATACTCTGTGCCAGTGGGCTACCAAGGAAAAAAGTGTGGTTCTTAGAAGACAATGATCCACACCACAGTCATAAGCAGAGGACATCCTACTGGCCAGACACGCTAAGCTTTGCAGACTGTACATCTCTCTAAAAAATAAAAGGTGTTTGAAATCTGCTCTATTTTCTGTTAGGAGTCACTTTTAGGAATTGGACAAGTTTTCATAACAGTTTTTAGACGGCTGCAGTCCAGAATTTCCACTCTATATGATTTAGGCCCATCATAACTGAATTTAATGTTTCTCATTTATTCTAGTTCCAGGCTGAGGTTATTGTTATTAACCTCTTCCACTTTGGTAGATACGGCAAGATTTCTCTGTGCTAAGAATAGCAGTGACTTCCATCTCAGAATCCTGATGGTAAGGACAGCTGAAATTGAAAGCTCAGAGGATGTGGGAGAACCATAAAAGGATACAAGCACAAAACCAGCTTAATAATAAAAGGACATTTAAGTACTTCTACTTTAAGTCACCAGATTTATGAAAGGTACTTTTCTATAAAACAAAAATACAGGTTCTAGCAATCTGAAGTACTAAAACGTGGTTATTCACAGCCTAAGAAAAGGTAAAAATGACAACACATTCACCAGGGAACCCTCTTCTACTTACAATTAATATTTTCACTAAATAAGTTTGATCCTTTAAAAAGAAAAAAAACCCTACAAATTTTAACTAAATTACACTCAGAAAGTGTGATTTAAAATAAGTTTAATGTGAAATACTCATATCTTCAAGAGAACATAAAGTCATGTGCATCTTGGAGCTGCAAACTAAAGCAGGTAAACTCCATATTAAAAAAAATTGTGGATAACTGTAAATACTTTTGTGCTCTAAAATCTGACTGTAAAGAAAAAAACCAGGTTGCTGCATGCATACATATGTGTGTGTATGTACGCACATTTACAGACAGAGAGATGCTGGGCTATAATAGCTAACTATCAGAGCTGGATTCCACTGATGTTGAGTTTGCCAGGCTGAGAGTTAATTTAAATCCTTTTGTACCAATACAGCTGACCAGTCTTACTAAAGAGCCACAAAAACTAATTAACATGTAGGGAGTACTGCAGGCTCATAGGCAAGGACAGTCTCCTTCCAGAGTGGATCTGTGTTTAATAAAACATATCCTCGGTCTTGTGCCTACCTTTCGCAAAGGCTTCAGTTTTGTCTCCATGATGAACTCGTACTTGCACAGTTCACAGCATCGTGTATCTGAGCTCTTGATCCATTGCTGCAGGCAGGCTTGGTGCACAAAATGAAGACTTCCCGTACAGTGACAGGGGGTAATCAAAGGGCTCTCATCATCTCCTTCACAGTGACATATCCTAAATCAGAAGCAAAGCTGCTTATTAAGGAGAAGAGAAAGCAGAAAGGATGTGGAAGGGGCATGTAATATCTGTGATCACATATGGTTGTTCACTGAGGATCCTGAGACATATATATCAGAGGAATGTGTTCCATAAAGGAGCTAAAACTAAAGAACTCCATTGCTGCGCAAGCGCATACACAGGCACAAAATAATTGAGCACAGACACGGCTAACTAGACAGCTGCTTTCTAACAGATGAGGCAGACACACAGAGCCTGACAGAAATGCAGCATCAAAAAGAAAAAACAAGAAATGACAGCATTTCATCCAGACCAATAGCACTTAACTGAAAATAGCATTTAAACAGATCAGATAGCACTTCTCAAGACAAAATATGCACAGAGAGGTACAGCTATGCATGTATTATGGTCCAAAACAGAAGATAAAGCAAAATACCCAAACCAATAGTGCAACAGCCCACCCCAGTATCACGAACAGTTAATTTAGCCCGGATTTTGCACAAGTGATAATTCCAGTGCAAATTTGCTAAGAGACGGATTAACACTGCTGAACTGCAGCACTGAATCTGAACCTCAAAACACACCTACTCTAAATGGACTAATGGTTTTGCTTCTCCAATTCTAACTTTGCAAGAGCTGCTAAAGAAACATCAGCTTTGCAAATTCCTCCTTTTCCTCACAGCCTAACTGCAGAAACAGCAAGGACATCCTAATATAGTGTTACTACCAGCTGCTGACATTTGATTTCCAGATTCAATTTATACACAACCCTTGGGTTACATCAAGCATTGTGAAGTCCTTCTAACTACATGGAAGAGGTCATGAATTGAAAGGGGAATGGTGGGGAGCTCAGGGACTGAATACAAGTTACTAAGCATATGTGAAGTACATCCTGGCATACTGCCATCCCTGTCTCATTACTGAAATCTCTTACTGATGTGTAGCATCTTGCCTCTTGCAACCTTGCTGATAGTTGGCAAGCAGAAATGAAGCAGTGAGTGGATTACAACAGCATCTTGTTGATGACAAGCCAGTATGGAACTAGATTTTGGTGGTAATGAGGGAGAAAATCAGATAATATTGGCAAGTACTAACAAAGTCAGCTTTAGAAAGTGCTGTCAGGGAGGAAAAAGACTAGGACAGTAAAATGTCAGGTAGAGGGATTGGATATTTGCTCCTGTACTTGATGACTCCTGCTCCTCAGCCACATTTTGGAGGTGATATGGGGCAGACCTGTAGACAAGTCACTATGAAGACAGTCCTGATCTTGCTGTTCCCAGCACCTGTGCACATGGTTAATCCTCTGCGGTTGGAACAAGGACATCCATCCTTTTTTTGGACCTCACATTGTGGACATCACACAGGCCTACCACTAACAGCCAGCACTCAGATGCCCCTTTTGACCAAGGCATTCACAGAAAGCCCTTTACAAATAAAAAAGTATTGTGGGATAGAAACTGAAGGGAAAAAAATTTAAGCTATATTGACCTGATCTCAGAAGCAATTTTCAAGCAGTCTTTTCCTTCCAACTCCCACCCTCTGACTAACCCAGCAGTGCTGTCAGGAAAACACATTGCTCATTAAAACCTAAGACATGTTCAGTTTGGCCTTTATTATGCATAGTTGAGTCTCTCATAATATTCCCAGCTTGGGAACTGATAAGAGAAGAATACCATCTCAGAACCCCAAACCTGAAACAAATTGTAAGAGAATTTATTTGACTCCAAAAGAAATTATTTTGCTTAGTAGTCTTGTTAAGTGCATCAGAGGAGTGCAAGACAGCAGATAGAAGGCTGCATGCTTAAAATCACACATATTATAGCAAGGTGACAGGATGAAGAGACAGAAACAGCACAAAGGCAGGGGAAAGCAGAACGGTCACCACCGCACATGGGAGGGTTCAAAGGTAGGTGGTTCTCTGGTAAACCAACCTGCAGGTATCCCCCGATGTGGACACAGGGGAGAGAGGGGGGAACTTTTCTGAGAGGGGGGAAGGGCAGTCAAGGTCACTGTCCTTCTCAACTGAACAGAGTGGAGCCCGCTGCTCTTTTGTTTTCAGTTTCACTGAGGTGCTGTCTTCAAAGACGTCATCGTCTCCCATATCGTCTGAGCAGAAGTCCGTGCTTTCCACCAGCATGCTGGAGGATTTCTCTGCTTGGAAGTGACTGGAATAGCTCTCCAGTTCATGAAATTTATGCAGGCTGCTGATGCTGGACGTGTGGGAGAAGGAAAAAAGGTAACGCAACAGTTTTTTGCTCCTTGAGGTGTCATGGTCCACTTTGTCCTCCAGCAAGGGGATATGTACAGCGCTGTGGTTCTCTGTTCCTCCCGATGCACTCGAGTAGTTGGAAAGGGAAGGGATATAGGAGTGCTTAGAATTGCTAAAAGAAAGAGGCCTGAGATTCAGTGGTTTCCTCTCTTTAAGATGAAATTTGTTAATCCTTAAACACTGCTCTTGAGTTGGGGTCAATTTGCCTTCTGACCGTGTTCGCTCCACATAGTCAAAGCACTCGCTGGTGCTCTGTGCCTTCTGGTCCACATCATTGAGGGACTTGGAGAATTTCAGAGTGCGAGTGGGCTTTACATTCTTAGCAGATCTGAGTGCCTGGCCCCGATCCTGCCCACGGGAGTTTCTCTTTGCTGCATGTAACTTGTCCTGACAGATTACTGTCACAGTGACCCCTTGTGTCAGAGGGCTCTGGCAGTGCGGATTTTTCAAGACAACAGCAGACTGCACTGGACTGTGATGACAACACTCAGAAAACACTGCACTGGAACTGCATGCAGAACAGTGGAATAAAAGCACAGAAAGTAAAAAACAATTACAAAAGAGAACACATATAATTAAAAGTGAAGAAATGAGAATTACGGCTAGTGTGGCAATGGTAAACATAGCAGGGCCAAACAGTCAGTAAGATTCAACGAAGCAGTGTTAGACAGCAGTCAAGTCAAACAAATGGGATGCTTCGTGTGGGAACCCCACATTGCTTACTTCCCTGTAAACGTGCTTTTTCAGTTTTGTTTTTCCTTAATTTGAACCTTTCATGAGCCTCACTGTAGCCACGCAAATGACACACTTTACCTGCAGATGTCCTGGTTGGATGGTGTAACAGAAGTCCGAGAGAAGCTATGAGGGGCAGAGATAGACGTTGGACTTCCAGCCTGCAGTGAAATTAAAACAAACAAACAAAAAAACCCCAAGTCACAAGTCAGTATGCACAGCAATCACCTTCAGGGTGAAACACAGCATATGGAGTCAGATATCCTCTACATCAGATATTCAAGAAAGTAGCTTCATTGTTGAATGTGAGAAGGAGAGGTCAAAGAGCTTCATCCTTGGAGAAGTAGGATCATAACAGAAATGTTTTACCCCAAAGTCAAACGCAGACATCTCTGGAGTGGAACCTGCCAGCTGTCAAACGTTGCACAGGACAATAGCTCAGGAAATGAGCAATGCTATAGTAATTAGAATAATTAGATGAAAGTGTGTGTATAGACTAGTTGGAATTTAGCTACCATGTAATAGCTAATCCTTCCTCTTATAATGATGACAAGAGATTACAGGCTTGGGGTTTTCCTCACAAGACAGAATTGTCAGTAGTTCAGTATCTCAAACACTACTTGGGGACTTATATTCCATACTAGCATATGCACACAAGCACCATCTGCCAACCCAGACCATTCCCTGAAGTACTTTTTGTACTTTGTGAGGCCTTTCATCCTGATCTTACTAGAACAGGGTCTTCCATCTACCTGGAGGTGTGGCAGCAGTCATGTTTATAAGAGATAAACATGAGCACAGTGAGAATAGAGTAACTGAAGAATTCAGAATTCGCTGAACTAACTCAAAAAACTAAGGTTAAGGTCTTGGCATATTTAACACTTAATAGACAAGCCTCTAAAATCAATATGATAAGAATAAGCATTGTCTCAGAGCTGGGACTCCATGGGCTATTATTAAAGACCTTTTCTGCCACTGTGTTCTGTGAGTCACTTCAACAAACTTCTCAACTCTTCCAAGAGGTTTTGGTGAGGAGGAGACCTGGGTTAATAACTTTGTAATAGAGAATCTTTAAACCTGTTTCTCCCATGTTTCACAGCTGCTAGACAGGCTGTGCTGCTCACCCACCACTGCAAAACATTGCTTGCATTTCAAATTCAAACAAAGATTTACAGTTCTTTTGATCAGCAAAGCAAAGCCTGAAACCCAGGAAGGAAAAATGCAATCAGGAGAACAACAGAAGTGTCATCACTATGCTGGGCTTCAGAGAAACCAGCACAGACAGCAGAGACCTGGGTCAAGCAAGTGCACTAAGCCAGACCACGGGAGACCTCAGGTGGCAAAAGCTGTGTTGCCACAGAAGCACGCTGGGCCCAGCCCTGTGCTTCAGCTTCAGACACCAGATTAGCTCAGCCATCAATGAGCTCTGGTCATAGTGAAACACACACACACTATATCTGTCTCAGAACTCTTCAATTTTACACTTAATTTATTAAAAGCCCTTATTGTATATTTAAACAAGGCTGCTGCAGGCTTTTACACCCTTGCAGCAAAAGCAAGGTTCCTCATCACACATTATACTGTTCTTTCTTTACGAGAGAAGATACAAGGATACACATGCTAGTTTATAAATACAGATACAACCATGATCTTCCATGTCACAGAACTCATCTGCTGGGGTTTTATTTCTCTAGCCAACAGTACTACAGACAGCAATGTACCTGCCCTCACATTGGGATGCCTCAGGTGCACCGAGACTGAAAAAACAGATATCCATTTACAGTTGGGTCTGCAGGAATTGAAGGCAAGACTCAACCAAGCCTCAAACACACACCTCTTGACCCTTAGTAAGATGCTGTAACTTATTTCCCATCTTACCCAGCTAGGTTCATGTATAGAATAAAACCAAAGAGAATAACCTTGGGCCAGAAAGCCAATTGAACTATGTTATGACTGTGACAAAACAAATTAAAGACAAATATCAATTATTGGCTTCATCTTGGAAACTATGATTCTTTACATTTTACACTACTTACACATACATGCACTGTATGATCAGGATCCTGATCATACAGTGAAGTGAATTCAGGTATTACTTGGAAATTTGGTCTCCATTTGATGCTTAACCTCTCCTAAAAGCAGGTACATCTCTGACTTCAAACCCCATCTTTTAAAAAGTGTTTGTGCAGTAATTACTTTTGTTCAATTGAAAGTCTGACAATGTAGTGAAAGATGTGACACTATAATCTGTTTCATTATGCAAATGAAAATTAACAAAACTTAAATAACACGTATTTAGCAATCTTCTAAAAACAAAACATTATACCAGTAAAACAGCATGTTGCATTCTACCATGGAAACAGAGCCATATATTGTTGGAAATGAAGTCACAAATCAGTTAATAAATCAGTCTCAGGTTTTATGTTATGATCAAATCACAGATGGTAACCTGCTTAGAATGAATCCAGTCTCTCAACTCATTTTCCAAAAAAAGACAGCAGAATATATGATGTAACAGTTTAAGGCAGATGATTAGATTCATAGATCCGAAATTTCCCTTCCAAAATGATGTTTACTGGTTTTGTCATCCAACTGTCTGGTACCAAGACCAGTGTCAAAGTCTCACCACTTGGGAAATCAAAAGGCTGGGACAAACAAGAAATTGTGGAATTTCATTTGCATTTCAAACTTATTATTCTGTTTCTAGATGCCAGCACTGTTCAGGATGGCTTGCAAACCCCCCCCCCATCTTAGGTACATTTCCTTTCCCCTCTACCTTTCTGCTTCAGAACAAAAGGTCTTTTTCTCAATTTTCATACAAAATGAAAATGCAACCAAAATATGAACAGAAATTAACACACTTGGATAGGCACCACAAAGAGGAACAACAAAACATTGGAGGAAGTTATGCCCCACCCTTGGTGTAAGCTAATGCAAGCTGTGGCCGCCAGCTAAAGCCATGGTTCAACGAGCCTCCAGTCAGTCTGTCCTCCTTTCATCCCATGCTTTTTGCTCATAAAACTATTTACACAGCTGCACTGTAACTCAGAGTAGGATAGCGAGGTGAGGTAAAACTAATTATTGCTTTAATGCCAGTCACTTCCTTAGCTACAGCTGCCAGAGGAACATCAGTCAGTGAGAGCAAGTAACGGTGAGGAACAACTCCCTGACAAGAGCATAGTAAAATGCAAGCTGCTGCCAAAAGCCTAAGTAGAAGTTCTGCCAGTTCTAGAAGCAGGGCTACATGCAGCTGATGTTGGCCAGTCCACTCAGCTCACCTGGGTTTACTAACTCAGACGCAGGTGCCACAGAAAAGACAAAGCATGGGCAAAGAGGAGGCAGTGATGGACAAATGAAACAGTGAGGTGGATCCAGCTAGCCTGGAGCTCTGATGTTGCTCCCACATAGGGCTCAGCTCTGAAGAGGCTGGGAAAACAAGCAATCAAAGCCCTCTCCACTCTGTAGTTTCTGGCACACACACCACCCTTACTGTCCCAGCAGCATCCGCCCAAGTAGCAGCACCTTTGTCCGAACCGGCTACCTGTGGTGATGATGACAGCAGCAATAGGTTTTAAAGCACTCCTTCTCATAGGAGGTTTCTGCCATGCTCATATGTGTCAGGTAGCTTAAGCCTTGAGAGCCTGAATTTGACCCTTCTAACCCCATAATTGCTTGCTGAATCTCTGTGGACTTCCACATTCTTCACATGGTGGAATATCACCTCCAACAACGACCTATGTACTAGTGAGTTACTCCACACAGACCAACTGGTTGCCTAAAATAGCTCAGGACTAAAGGTCAATAGTTAGTTAATTGTGTATATTGACATTCCCATCTAATGCAATTCAGTGAGGTCACAGCATGGTCTTCTGCACTGCTGTTTGAACAATCACAGCAATTCTGAAGGTAACAATTCCTGGAAGCCTATAGCTCTCTGGAAGGTTGCCAGCAGGAACATATACATTTTTTTATATACATGTACATGTGTGTGCGTGCATATATACAATACATACACGTATAATGTGTGTGCTGCCATAGCTGGTTGTTCTCACTCTGCCCCCGTTTCATGAACAGTGTTATCTGTTGGTGAGAGAACTCAGCCAAGATTACCTACTTGTGATTACAGACTGCACACCAAAAATCAACCCCCCCCCCCCCCCGCCTAAGAAAATAAAGTAATCTGTGCAGTGAGCCATAGTGAACATGCCAACAGCTTGGGAATATTTCAAGATAACCTGCTTATCTGAGGTGGCACTGTTGCTGTTGTCCCACTCTGGGCTGCACTTCAGTACTAGCAGTTATATCTCATTTTAAAGAACAGGGCCTGTCACATTCTAAAAAGGTAAAAAGGTAAAAAATTAGAAACAACTCTAGTAGAATTCCTCAAGTGACTGGAATTCTAAAGGAAGCAAAGAAAGGCTTCCCCCCACACCTGCAATTTGTCATTTCTAGGTGCCACATGAATAGGAACAATACTGTGACCCTACTATTTCTGCTACAAAAACATCTAGAAGTCTCAGCTAAGGATCTGGAACTACCATCGTAAGAACTATGCACGTTTAATAACAGAGCACACAGATAAAGAGTTGGAAAAAAGAAGCACAATTTAAGTCTTTTACTCAGGAGGAACTGCAGCACAAGGAGCTTCAGGCAGATATAAATTTAGCAATAGAGTAAGGAGCCAAACATTCTGCAACCCAAATTTCAATCTGGCGTTTTGATTATGGGCTTGCCTTTATTCTACACTCTCCTGACAGAGTTATTTTCTGTTTATCATGTAGACCCTACTCAAACACGTAGTAAGAAAGCAAAGCTGCTGCTGGACATGGATGGCACTTATCTTGCATGCAACATCTCCAGAGGCAGCAAAAGCCCCAGGCTCTGCTCCTCTCTTAGTTTACACTTAGAGGAACCAAGATCATCTATGAAGAGACCCAGGGAATCTGACTCTGTCTATGCTACCACTGCCCCCATTCACCTCCCCTCCCTTTGGCAAAGGCAGCTCCAACCCTGTCTCATCCACAGCAAAGCCAGCTGTATTAACCTGACACTTGAGAGGCAGAACAGGCCACCTATGGACAGAGTGGATGTTGTGACAGGCAGACAGCCCTGCTGACAGGCTGGTTTTGAAAGCTTTTACTAAATACCAACATGGCAGGGATCAAGCATCAACATCAGCAACTTCTGATCTTCTCCAGTAAGTGCTCCCTACCACATTCATGCCATTTTGACTCCCAGTGCATATTAAAATCAAATGTCTTTAAGTGGGATAAGATGAATTATTAGAATGGAAAGTAGTTAAAAAATCAGGGGGAGGGAGGGAGCCAGGGGGAGAGATACTGTAAAGAGGCATCTGGAAATTTCAGGATGATCAACTCTACCATTTTGGCAACAAGTTGATAGGAACCAGGAGTCAGCTATTGGGAGAACTTCCAATATATGACTGAACTTCATATATGACTGTAATTAAAATTATGTCTAGCAGCTAGGAGGAAAGCTGAAGTCAGCTTTCCTTTGTTGTTCCTAAAGAAATCTGAAGGAGGATTCTGGCAGGAACTTTCTCTAGAGATTCCGGGCTAAAGAAACTAGAGAAAAAAGGCTATCTATCCCTTCAAAATCTCCACAAGTGTAATACAACCTGGCTATAGCTCAGGATTAATGTTGACTAAAACCAGTAACAACTGCACAGGTTATGCAGGGAGAAGAAGAAATAAAAAATATATATAACCTTTGTCTTTAAAATCTTCCTCAAAATACTTTGAATGGACTGAGGGAACAAAAGGGGAAAGGAAAGTCCTGTGGGTTCCTCCTTCATGGAGGGCCTTTATACATATATGAAGTAAGAATCCAGCCCCAGGAGAGGGGATTTATCACAGCACAGGGAAGCTATCACACTCCTTATGAACATGACTGCACTGTGCCCCAGCATAACATTACTTGCTCTTATGCTTGGGGAAAAGAATATACCTTCATCTCCACAGTAAACAATTTTTCCTGTCTTCCTTTCCCCAATAGTTCAGTGGAAGGATTTAAAAAAAAATTTTTTAAAGTAACTTCTCTTTCCCTACCCCCAGGCTCACATACCTGAACAGAACACCTCTGAGCAGCAGTTCTTTTCAGTAAGCCTTGGTCATCTGATAGACTACAGGATAGTGAAGCTCTGACTGAAAACCCTAGACTGGTTTTCTACAGACAAATGCTCACTGAATCCATCAAAGCTTCAGGCAACAGTGGACGTGTGTATTCATATGCTTTTCTAAATCTGTTCCAAGCTGATGAACAGCCTAAATGGATTTTAAATTTCATAGCAAGCTTAGGCTACCACTTTGTGTCTGCACTCGCTGCTATTCAGTCTAAGAATAATCTAATACTTTACAGTGTGCTTCTGCTCAAAAGATAAAACTACACAGGCCTTCAGAAAAGACAAAGCATTTACATTTTTTAAGGACTGCACTTTTGATTCCTTTGCTGTGATCCGAGTATTAGCATTTTCAAAGTTTACCCCTTAAAGGGCCATGAAAATAAGCCTACAAAGTGCTTCCCCATTACAGTAAAATCAGCCCTCCAGAGCAACCAGATGACAGGAACAGCACACAGATGACCTGAAGATATTTCCATACATCATGTTATCAATTCCAGGATATATCAGACACTTTGACACTAAACAATACCGCTAATTTGAGGGTAACTCTTTACAGACCAGCTTTTTTAGTGACCTCATTTCATCTCCTTGTAAGCACGATTCCTTTCTCTATAAGCAGAGGGCATGAATTACCACCACTGTGAAAATCCCTTTTTTAGCTGCTCCCAGTGACTAGCTGTGTTTTAGCGTCAATTTCTTCTACATTTAGAGGACAAAGCTTCTATAAAGTTTAATTATTTCTCTGTGTGGCTTGTATGATGAAGGCACTTTGCAGCAATCAGTGGCTTCTTGGCAAAAATGCTGGCTTAGGGAAACAGCAGAGATGTGGATCTGGGCTGTATTCCCCTTTGTCAATTGGGGCCATTTCAATCAGCATCACTGTGCTTGAACAGGGCTAGTGGGGAATCCGGCTGTGTTTAAGTCCCCTGACTAAATAAATTCAAGCTTCCTTCAACAACATTTTTTTTTATTTCAAAACACACATAAAAGATCCCAGAAATTCAAACATTTCATGTGGAGCAGATTTAAAAGGAGTGTTTGAAATATATGTACCAAAAAAAGCAAAGAAGGGCCTGGAGGAATGCCACATCCCCCAGTGTGCAACATACTGCACAAAACCTAATGGCACCATATGAAGATCCTCCTACATCTTATTCCCTGCTCCTTTTTCTGCTGTTTCTGGCCTCCATCCCTAGCCAAGTATCCAGGTGATCACTTTTTCTTGGCCTGGCCACATGTACTAGCATCTCTTCTGCCTCTCCTAGCATCTGCCTCTTGGAGAACTGCCTTTTTGCCCCTTTCTCCTGAGGGACAGCTCCACCTGGCCCCGACACTGGGGGTCTATATTCAGAGAGGTCCTGCTACCTCTACCAGCTGATTTCATTTTCAGTGGCACCATCTGTCTGCCTCACTCCTTGATCACGTTTAGCCCTAGGGCATTGCTTTCCTTGGTCACATCAAGCAACACAGCATCCTTTCTTGGCTAAAGGCTGAGTTCTGACTCAATCTTTTCCACTCAAATTACACTGTGCAAGTGAGAGCAGTGGAAAGATACACAGTAATAATCACAGCAGGTTTGTAATGACATATCAGCACCAGAAAAGCTTTGAATCAAGTGTCAGTGCCAAGCATTTGTAGCAGATTTGCTAGGTTGCTGTGCTGTAAGTTAGATTTGGGTGGCAAAACAATGGCTGAAACAGTCATTCACAGGAAGCACGATTATTTCTGTACGCACACACGCACATCAACGTATCTGGAATTGCAGCATGTAAATGATTTAACTCAATTGTGGTTAAAAAGCTCCTCTTAAAATGGTATAGTATCAACAAGTTCTGGGGATTTCAGAAAGGGCTATACAGGTAGCCAAGCATTTCCATACTTATTCCTTTACATGTATTCAGTCTGCCTTATTGGCCAGGTTGCTATTATAAACAATAAAAAAAAAGCACTTTCCTATTAAACCTCAGAACTGAAGAAAAATTTTCCATGTACTTAACCTTCTATGCAGCATTCCACTACTATACTCTCGCCTGATTTGTAATATAAATTGCTTGCAACAGCCAAACCACCTGTAGACCACAAAATAATTGTTGCAGCTTAGCACTGAACTGTCTGGATGCAGAAGGCAGTGTTCAGACGTAGAAGGCAAATCAGAGAGCGGGACTTCTACCCTCTGCCCTTGTTCAAACTCCTCTCCAGAGTGGAGCAGGTGCACTGAATGGATCAGACACAGAGGTGACAGAGGAGCAGTAAGAACACCAACACCTCTGGGAAGCTCATTTTACAATCAAAAACTCTCCCCCATTACACTGGCAAAGCTGACTTTTGATCCCCTTGAGAACTTCAGCTTTTGCAACACATAGCAATCATGTTGAATGTTTCAGTGCTTCAAGATGAATGTAAATACTGATGTCTCACTTGCCAGCACTCCCAGGGAGAGCTTTACCAGAGTGCAAGGTCCTTTCCACTGCACTGCCACACTACCAGTCTTTGATGAATTAAGAATGAACTGGGCAGATTTGTATGGATACCAAACTGCTGGTGCCAAATGGCTTGTGCTGATTTCAGACACACTGGGAAAAGTACGACAACACTTAATGGTAAAACTACTACCTCTGCTGAATAAAACCTGACAATCCAATTAAGGATCCCTAAGAAGATAAGAGCCAGGGTAAGAAGGAACAGGCATAGTCCCATTTTAGAAAAGCTCAGATGAGAAGTTATAGTCACACAGTATTTACTGCAGAACCCTTTATGTGAATGGACATTTTCTAATGCCAAATGAAAAACACAATCCCGCATCAATCCATAATAACAACACATTCAGCTTGGTCAATACCTTGCGCACTGGACAGCTGCCCTGCTTATTATTTAGGACATCCAGTAATTCTGTCTTTCGGCTCAAAAGTTAAAGTTGTTTGTCCCCATATAAACCGTAAATAAATGCAGACACTGTTTCCTCTGCTGGAGATAGTTGTGAATAGCTCACTAGATCCAGAAGCACCCAGAATAGAAAAAAGGCACTTGAGCTTGTCACAGCCATGATGACTCATTCTTTCATTAAAAGCCACTACCATCAGTGACATAAACTGTGGCAATGAAGAGTTGAAGCTTATGCACACCATGAAAAATACTGGTCAACCAGCACAGCCTTGTTTGCGTGAAGGCTTTAAGCAATTGTACTTGTTTAAGCAATAAGTTGTCAGGCTTACAGATAATTAGAAGCCTTATCTGCAGTGCAGAAGTAGGAGTAGGGTACATCTTGCAATAATTATCTTGGACAGAAGATACTTTTTTCCTAATGGCATAATAAAACAATTGTGGGTTTGATGTGTCCATTGGCAATAGTGGAGTGTGACTAGAAAGGGGGGAGCATCCTCTTTTATATGATCAAGGTCTATAAAAGCAAACATTTTAAAATACTTACATAGTCATGCCCTGATAACAATGTCATGGTGCTGAAAATAATTCAGTGTGGAAGTAACAATGAAATAATGTTTAATCACATATCCTATTCATATTATGGGATGCACAGCTATACATACCTTATGCAACTTTATCTCATAAAACAACATACTTGAGCGATGTTTTTGGAGCCATTTTCCCTCCAAGATAAGATCTCAGGCATCTGTCATTTATCTTGCTCCTACCAAGCTAAGGAGGCTGACAGTGTGAAAGAGAAAACCTACTGTAGCTTCCATTTCATTTGACCTGTAAAGATAGTCTGCAAAACACCAGAGTTCTAATGTTCCAGGAGTGACTATCAATGACAGACAGGCATAAAAAGCATTTTCTACTGGTCACATTGTCACATACATCACCCCAGTTTGAAATGAAAGAAATCCCAGTATTCCCAAGTTTAGCAAAGACTGAGTTATATCGAGGAACATACCTTTGAGATGTTACTAGAGCGGCTCACGGAATGCCCCAAAGCCTTCTCATTCTGAAAGAAGAACAGGATCATTGCAGTAACAAGTCACAGTTATGAAAATATTTTAAAGCTGGCATTAGAAACCAAACTTCATGAAAAAAGTCTTACAGCTGTGGTTTTTAAGGATGTTCCTTCTATTGACATCAGCCTGACTTATGATAATCACTAAATTGCTTTGTTTGCTAACAAGATATTACTTTGCAGAAAATCACACAGGCAAGACAAATACAAACATGAGAAATAGTAAAAGAATTATTTCTTCTCTTTGTGAATACTGTAAAGCTCTTTACTCAGATGGCATCTATTTTGGAAAGGATACTTCTCAGTATCAAGAAGACCTGCTTCATCTACATTTAAAGGTAAACATCCAACCACTTAAACTGAAAGCTCTTGCTTAAAGAAAAACAAGAGTATCACAGTGTTGACTGGAAACAATTGTGAATAAACATATGCATGTCACTGCAGGAGACAAAACAGAATTATTGAGGAACTTCCTATCTACTACGGAACTCAGAATTAAACTGGAAATATCATATAAGATGGAAACACAGAAGCTGCAATTCTAAAAACTAAAATCAGTGCTGACTGTATCTGTTACTCACTTTTCAGCGTGCAGACCCTGACTGATACGCATGACAACCTTATCTCCTATGAAAATAAACTGTAGACTTCACCAAGGTATTTCATCTTTTAAGGATACCATCAATTCAGTGTAACTGGACATCACTTCTTCCTACAGCACATCCACAGAGCAAATTAAAAACTTTGTGACAAGAAAAGAGAAGGCAAGGCATAAAACACCAGCATATGCTTACAAAAGTAGGGTGCCCCTTCCTTACAGCACCAGTTGCCTCTCAACACAGCCCTGGGCACTGCATCAGTTGACAGATAAGAGTTGCATTTCCTTCCTTAGAAACATGAGTAAGCAAATACAGTGTTCTGAAATCCTCTGTATGTCCAAGTGTCCAGAAGACAGTAAAACAATGTTTCAAAAGAATAGGGGGAAAGTGACCAGGGAACACCACATGCCGGATCTGGCCAAAATAAAAACCGCAAGGATCAGTTTAAGGTCTGGAATAGTTTTGGCCCAAATTTGAATGCCAGATTTGTACACTGCAAGGCTGAGTTTCCTTTTCAAGATGACTATGAATTTCTATTACATAGATAACAGTATTCCTGGAACAGAAACAAACACATAAAGACTCCCAAAAACATGGACATAATGCTTATATGAAGATTAATGTTAGACGGGACTACTCCCAGAACCCGTACAGCTAAGAATTGCCTCCAATCATAAGGGAAAGACTTGGCTGATTTCATCAGACAGTGTAACTATAGAAACAGAAAAAAAAAGTTCATTCAAGCTACAGAAGACAGGAGAAAGAAAAAAGGGGGCAGGAACATGTTCTCAAGCTATGATGAAAAGAGACTTACACAAGCTGGCAAACACAAATACTTGTCACTGCATTTGTGCGAGGTGTGGGGGAAGCAGGCTGTGCTTGGCGGCCTTCTAGGGATGTGTGGGAGGTAAACAGAGCATGGCTACGTGGGACAAAAGAAAATTATAGCAAAGAGCAGGATTCATGGGCAAGAAGTCTCCCTGAAGCAACATATACAGCTGCACATCGGTGACAGTCTCAAATCCAACCCTAGGTGTCAAAGACTTCTGGGTGAATTTCCTAAGGACAAAATTAAACTGAGCGGAGGTTTCTTCACATTAACTCAATGGCTCCCAAATACTTGCTCTCTAGCTGAAGAAGATGCCTGCAAGGGACTGTGACTGAACTTACACAGGCACCTGTGTTGAAAAGGATGTACTAAAATTCAATAAGCACGAACAAGTAGGAGGACAAGACCTGTATCTGCACAACATGGTAGATGATGCAAAACCAACAGACTTTTAGCCGTTGCCACAAAAACTGGTCTTTCTACCTCTGTGCCCAGAACTGATTTTATGTGACAGACGCCAGGAGTCTCTAAGAGACAGGTGTGCATACTATCTTTATTCATCTACTGTCGGAAGCACACCTATCAGAGGTTTCAGTCAGTAGATGACTGCAAACAGTTGTTTTTTCTATTGAAAGAGTGATCATTTTAAAACAAAAAAGCAGTGTTGAAAAATATTCCCTTAGGGGCTACATAGTGCCTGCACACATATATTAAGTATCTGTGATATCCCTAATGGACTCCTAGGCACCTAAGTGCTTTTTAACATCTCTGTTTCTTTACCACACAAAGCTGGTACATCCACATAACACCAACAGGAAATTCACTACGGTCTTAGCCCGGGCTGGCCAAAACCTGTACTCAGTAAGGGCTACTTATCCCGACATGGGAGGAAAAGCACCAACTCAGTTGTATTTTTGAGGAGCGACAACTGCTCCAATAGCCACTACCAGATTCAACACAGACTTGCAAATAATATGCACATTTTTCAGTCTGGTTGACCTGTCAACTACCAAGCAGCCCCATCACCCAGATAAAACTGCATCAGCCTTTGGACACCAACTGACCCTGCCTTAGTCTGTCATCTAATCAGGCATAGTTTTTGAAATGTCTCATAGTTTACATACACACAGACTTTAAATTGTGTTGGGCTGAAAAACTGAGATAAACAACTGAGTTTGCTGTGCAACAGCAATTTCCAGTTCATTGTGACCACTCAAGTAGCCCTCCTGCTGAAGGAACGTGTTGTGCTTTCTTGCCAGCTTCTACAAAGGACCAAAACCATTTATTTTTATTTTTTAAAAATCATTAAACAGCAACAGAAACACCTCTAAGTAATACAGTTGATGAAGTATAGTTGTGCTGTTTAATTCTCTTCTAGAAATAAAATAATAAACATCTACCCTTCAGGACAAAGCACTGTGGAAGCCATTAAATAGAGTCAGAACTTGCTGGTGTTCCCCACGTTGCGATACATTAATATATCATATGTTTTCCAGTCATTAAGATAGAAAAGAGCTGTAAAGCCATGGAAGGAGCTCCTGGAACACGTAGATTTTAATAGCAGGCACAACTACTAAGTGAGGAACAGAAATGTTAAACAGGTAAAAATTATTTTAGAGGCAAACAAACAAAAGCTCACTTTTCACACTATATCTTACACCAGTACATTCATCCTGGGATCTTTTAGCAATTACTCACAAACTAACACTGACATGGGAGTGGCAAGGCTAAGCTTCTATTATGGTACTGTCACTGTCCAACGAATAAAAATCTTCTATTTCTAGTATGTTCCCACTGCACAGTAAGACATATTCTGGTCTGGTAATTACAGCTCCAAACAAGCTCTCCTTCCCTCTTGCAAAAGCATTAATCTCTGCACTTGAATGAAAGGTCAAGATAAATGCAACATCTGCCAGCATGGACCATATAATTATGACCAATTAAAGCAAGTGTCACTCTACTTGGGCAGTTCAGTCTTTCTGTATGGCATAATGGGAATCCTGCCTTTCAAAATCATCCTACTCAACCAGAACCACCTCGCAGGCATTAAAAAACCCCAAACACAAAACAATAAAAAAACCACATCGATAGGAAAAAATTACCAGTGCAACTTGTCACTTCTCCCAAGCCATTCACTGCCAGGTACTGCTATGAGGTCCCCATCAGAACCCGGCTCTAGGGAAATGACTGAAATCCAGAAAAATTGCTACCCATTCCTACAGTGACATGATACTCCAACATGCACTCTTAATGCACTTGCTTGTGATTGCCAGAATCCCCCTCCCAACTTTCCTTTCTTTTTCTATCTTCCCCTTGAATTTGCCTGGACTGTGAGTGACAGAGCTGCTTCCTTCCTTCAGCAGTTGTTTCAGCTCACCTCTGCTTTCCTGCAGGGCTCTTCACCTTGCCTTCTTCATCTTGCTGGCTCATTTTCCTTTCTGCCACCATTCCTTGGTTACTCTTTCATGACACCTCTCCCTTTTCAGTTCAGAGATCTAGAAGCTGATAACTCCCCTTCTGTCCTTCCTTTTACCTCAGTCTTCCATATATTCAGCACTTCAAGTTATTTTACCCTTGCTTCCCTACCATAACATACTCACTTTCCACTAATAACATCAGCTACATAACTCACACAGCCAAACCCAGAAGCCTTGTGAGTGCCAGCACACCAGTTCCTACCACCTGAGCCAGAGCAGCCACAGCTGCTCTTGTGCACTTACAATACCAATGTAACCTGCTGACCTTTCTCCAAACTTAGCTGTAGACTTAATGCAGCCTCAGCAAGGGGGCACCCTAAAGAAACACAACTTAGATGTCCTTGTCAGGATGGAAGGTAAAAAATGTATCAGTAAAATAATTTGGTTTTGTGTTTCCAGCACTTTGGTTTCCAGTCATTAAGGCAGGGAAATAAAGGACGACAGTGGAAGCAGTTTCATAGCTTGTGCAGCCGCCTTCTTGCTACATCCCTGACATCCTCATAGACCTGAGGAACAAACTGCAAGCCAGAAGCCAATGCGTTAGCAAGATGGTTTTTACTCTTTTTCCTCTGGGAAAGGAGGGCAGAGGGCATCAGAGGAGGGTCCTCCTCTGCAATCAAGACACCAATGGCTATGTGCGAACCCAGCATATGCTTGCTTCCTGAAGTCTTAGTTATTTAATACACCAGTGACCTGATAGGGCATTTTGCAATACAACTTCTATATTATGCTATATTACGTGATAGCATGGGTTAAGAGCCTCATCTAATGATAGGCATTCTCCAACTAAAATCTCAGTAACAAAGAGCAGAGACCTTGTTTTGAGGATGGTGTTACTGCAGTGCCCCAGACACAGATCCCTACAAGGCAAGTACCAATGTCTCAGCCCAATAGGAGACACAGTTAAACAAGCCAGGTCTGACTGGCTAGAGCACTGCCAACTTGTGGTTTTCTAGGTGGACCCTGCAAGGCATTTTAATCTCATTTTGTGCATTACAATTGCATTTTACAATGACAGATTATGCACAAGATCGGTATCCAGCAAAATCACTTATCAGTGAATGTCATGGGCACTACTTCAACAGT